GTTTTCTTACTACAGTATTGCAAAATATGACCTGGTTTTAAACAACCAAAACATAAACGTTTAGATTTAACAAAGTCCTTCTTCACTGACTCTGGTAAAGATGATAATTGTTTACATACAAACATTGAATGCGAGGGATGCTTACAGTAACAACATGGCTTGGTAAATGCTATGTCTGTGTTATAAGGTCTTGTATAAGTTGATTGTTCATTGGGCCTTGAAATTACTTGTTGAATGGCAAATGATCCCTTTGGTCTATTTGCATGTACTTGTACATGTGATTTGCGGATTGGTGTACTTAATAACCGGTCACCCAACAAGGCCTTTTTACCATATGTTGGATCATTAGCTTTCAGAGCTTCAGTGTTAATTAATTCCACGAGTTGATCAAAATGGACACTGTGTCCTTTATCTCTAGTAGACTGAACAATGTTTCTCCACTTATCTTGAATAAAATAGGGTAATTTTTGTAGAATTCTTTTAATATTTTCAGAGTACTGCAAAATGTTTACCGCTTCAATACTTTTAACTGCATGAAGACATTCTGTTAAGAACAAAGCAAAGTCATCTAAACCCTTAGGATTGTCCGACTTGATAACTGGCCAATGTAAGGCCTTTTCTATAAAAGCATTCGCTATCAGTTCACTATTACCATATCTAGATTGTAGTTGACTCAAAGCGCAATCATACGCCTTGTCAGCACGAAGATAACTATAACTACGAACAATTTTATTTGCTTCTCCTGATGTAAATTGATCAAGAAAGTTCAAGCGCTCATCATAAGTGTCACAATTTGTTACGATCACAGAATTAAATTGTCTAATAAATCTTTGATACTCCAAAATATTACCATCAAACGGTTGAATACTTGTATTAGGTTTCTTGATATGTTTAATCATAGAGTACAAGGCTCCTTCAGCATTATGTGGCGTCAAATTTTGATCAGGTACCAAGTTTGCTGAAACACTGTCAGGCTTGTTTTCAAAAGGGCTAACATCTTTATTAAATTCACATTGTTTATGTGTAGGTCTAATTGTTAGTTTATCAAAAGAATTATCATCATTACATGTATTAACAGTTTCTCGAACAGTCCTGTCAACATTATATGTTGTATTACATGCGTCAGAAGAAATTATGTCATTAGAATCTTTAACTTTCACATTAGAGTCTGTATTTTCTTTAACTTCACCTACAACACTAGAGGCCTCATCCTTCGACGATGGAGCATAACGTTCGTACAGTTTTGATTTGCCTTGTGAAATAGCTAATTCCGTTTTCAAGTCTAATTCCTTTTCAATAAATTCTAATTCTAGTCTTTTAGCTTCAATGTCTTTTCTTTGCCTTAATGCCTCCACTTTAGCTGAGAGTTCTAAATTCTTTTGTTCTTCATGAAACTTTAATGAGGAAATGTCACTACGATGTGAAGAACTACAATGTGATGAACTACGATGTGAAGAACGATGACTCGAACGAACAGATTTTTCTTTCGCACATACTGGTTTTGTAGGTGTAGCTATGCCTTCAGTTTGAACAAACCAATTTTTAGTTGAAGACATAAAATTTGATAAATACACATCACGATCTTCATAGAAATCATCATAATATGTGGCTCTATCTTCATTAGATAAATGTAAACAATATGCATCATGACAGCTTAAGTATTTATCATAAAGAGTCATCCATTCAGAGTAATGCTTTCTAACAGTTGCAATCTCTGCATTATCAAAAATCAATTGATTAATGTCTTTCACACCTCTTTTCAAACCTTTAAACAGTGTATTTACCAGTACTTGATTCTGCACATGTTTATCAATATCAGCACAACTGTCACTTGACTTGTGGTCTCCAGCACCAGTAGATTGCATGTTGAACAGCTAACACGTCAATGATGTAGGGCACAAACAACAATGCACCAAAACTCTTAGAATATTGTTTAATTTGGTTACAGGTTTAATACATCTCAAAATCTTATACAGTTGATCGAAGATCTTTCAAGACTAGAGACATAGGCTACATTAATAAATAATGATGACGGTGGTGTTGATGTGATGGTGATTAGAGTAGAGGTGGTGGTGGTGTTGATGTGATGGTGATTAGAGTAGAGGTGGTGGTGGTGATTGACTGAAAAGGATAAATAAACCAATCAAGCACCTGACAATAATTATCAATAAACTATCTTAATAAAGAAACATAAAATAGCATGAGTGCCTGGAATTTTCTGGGACCTGCACAACCACGTGATAAATCAGTCATGCATGTCGACTGTCAATATCATCGAATAATAACAATATATGACTATAACACATTACAAAACTTATGGATTAGATTAAACTATAACTTAATATGCTGCGGTAATTCATCTTACCGTGTTTTATGCCCTCCAAGCGTTACAAAACTGGTGCTGAAGACCACGCTTGCTTAAGCGAACAAGTTGTCAATTAAATAACAGTCTCCTACATCCAGGCGCAAATTAAGTCAACTAAAACAATGACAGGCCTAAATAATCTAGACTACCTTCTCGCTTAAAGTTGATCAAAATTTATGCATTCTTAGACCAAAATATTGTGGAACGAAATTAATATTAAAGAAATATATAAAAAGATAATAAGTGATAATTTGCATCTTACAGTAATTGTGTTATTTCTGTGTCAATGATTTTTAAGGGTGGGAAATAATGCCCATGGTCGTATAATAGTGAGTTGATAACCTATTGAGCAAAAGACATAGAAATAATTATGTTTTGACTTTTTTTAGAAAATATGAAATTCTCGCTTTAAACAATTCGCTTGCGTGTAGGGGTCTTTAGCAGTGGGAGGAAACCGGAGAAAACCCGCGTGGTTGAACAGACGACCCTACTCCTTGTCACGTACAACCGCGGATTCGAAACCACGCCAGTTGACTCAATGACAGGCCTTATGATACAGCGCACACATGCTAACCATTCAGCAATCCCCCCCCCCCCATCTCTAATAGGAAATATCAGTCCAAAAACGGTTCAGTTATTTCATCGACCTATGTTGTTCGCTATGTAACAAGCCCTCCGCCAACTTTATTTGCCATGAACTGATTTGACGGGCCTGTTTTAAATCCGACTGAATCAAAGCCAAGGGATTATCTAGTGTTAGTATATTGATCTTTTCATTATTAAATGTTAAATAATCAATCTGAGTACATACCAACATGGATTAAAAAGTGAGAAATTTGACATTTTCCGAAAATGTAAATCATGCATCGTTACTTCAATGTTTATTTAGTGATAAATTCTACTACTACAAGCTGGGGTAAATGTCCACTTCCGAGGTTCATATATATCACGGACAGGTGTTTCCGAAGAAACTTGGTTAAAAAGGCCAGTTGTTATTGAAAGGTTAAGTCCAGTGGGAAAGGAGGGCAGCTTGTAAATTGCAGTACAGATCTAACTGGAAATATATTTATAACCCTGTTCAATAAGGCCATTAATCTCGGTTATTATGGCTACTACCTTCAAATAGGGGGGTTGGATTGCCGAATGGTTAGCGTGCGCTATATATCATAAGGTCTGTCATTTAGTCAACTAGCGTGGTTTCAATTCCCCAGTTGTACATGACAAAGAGTAGGGTCGCCTGTCCAACCTCGTGGGTTTTCTCCAGTTTCCTTCCATTGTTAAAGACCCCTACGCGCAAGCGATTTATTGAAATAAAATTGAACCATATGTTGATCCCGAAATGGCCAATTTGTGTCGAGTGGACGTTAAACCCCATTTCTTTTTCTCTCTCTCTCAAAAGATGCAATTAATACAACCCTGTCCATGGGCTTGATCAGGTTTCAAACGTAGAGAAATGAAGTGTGATTTAGCATCTTACTTTTTTGGCACTAATCTGGCTGATGAAGAGGGGCATACGCCATGCAGTGTGCTAACATTGTTTTGATTTCCAATCCTACCGTGGGTTATGTTTATTGTGCTGCTAATAGAATACATGTTACCTCAATTTTTCATCCCATCAGAATGACTAACATTGTTTTGATTTCCAACCGTTGGGGTATCTTTATTGCGCTGCCAATAGAATACACAGGACCTCAATTTTCCATCCCATCCGAATGACTAGATGCACCTCGGCCAACATGGGTCGAACCTGGCACCCCCATTTAGAGAGCTAGCCCCATTACTCAGTGCAGGTCATCCATATTGATCCTCCACAATCAGGCAATCAATTACAGATTTATAGGGTCAGCTTGCCGAATGAGTCGATGCTGTACTCTGCCAGGCCTTCCATCCTGCACCACTGAGGATTTTTCACTGGCCTACACTGGGATCAAACCCAAGACCTGATTAATGAGCCAAGGCCTTACTTAGTGAACCATTGTGGCTATCAAAAAGGTCAATACATCTTATAATGTTTTTACCTTGTACTTCTTTGAATTCGATTGTATGAATATAATATACACATGGAACACGTTCCTTGTTACTTATTAAACCTAACTGGAAGTTGACATGATACTGGGACCCAGGAAATCAGAAATATGTCAGAGTTTGATTCCAAATGACTGGTGATTTCTTAAAGGAGAAGTCTCAGATACAATTTAGTGAATCAAACTTGCTAATTTGTGGTGCAAACAGTTATTCTAGTCCTGTGCATCTTTCTGAAGCTCTTTCATACTTTTTCGAAAAAATACAAACTTTCAGTTTTCCATGAAGACCTTAAGTTCCAAGTCCTGCACTGAAATTCCTTAACCCGTTAAGCGTGATGTTTTTAAAAATGTTAACTACCCCCTACTGTGTAATTAATTTGACGAAGTGACGAAGAACTATGTACTATGTTCTAAGAATAGGTTGGGGAAAATACCTCCAAGGCGTTATATTACGCCCTACACACAGTGAGTGGCAGTTGTCCAGGACGTTATATAACGACCTATGCACTTAATGGGTTAACTGATCAACATAACATAATATTATAATTTAATCGGCTTTACCATCATATGGTGAAATCTGGGGCTGCCCTTTTAAAAGAACTTCTGTCATATCTAAAATAATTTATTACAAAAAAACCTATAAAAATTTTCGCTACGACACATTATTCTTATCAGAATTATCTGGTTCTGGAATATTCTCAAAACCAGCTGGTGTATAGTTCTTTTTATCATCAGAAGTAATACCTAGAAACTTAAACCTTTCACCCATTTTTTTAGGATTAACCAGCATATCATAGCCTGAGAGCATGTCTTTCCATTCTCCAGCATTAGCATTTTGTAGAAGGGCCTGAAAAATAGGATTTTAAATGTAACAGAAGTATTAAAATCTGGTTTAATGTCCTACTTTTTTGTACCAACTCCAGCTAATGAAGATGGGCATACGCCATGAAAGGGGGGTGGATTGTCGAATGGTGACGGTGTACGCTTATATCATAAGGTCTGGCATTGAGTCAACTGGAGTGGTTTTGATTTCCCCGGCTGTACGTGACAAGGAGTAGGGTTGCCTGGCCAACCTTGTGGGTTTTCCCTGGTTCCCCCAGTTTCCTCCCACTACTAAAGACCGCTTTATTGAAATAAAATTAAACCATATGTTAGTCCTGAAATAACCTAGTTTGTGTCGAGTGGACATTTAACCCATTTCTCCCTCTCTCATACGCCAGTTCGCGTTGAGGAAAATTTTGCAGGACAGCATCATTTCCACCTACTCTTCGTCACAGAACTTGCCTTAAATAATTTTAATATCTAAGAACAGGATGCTGTATAGCAGAATGATTTTTTAAAAGCTTAAATGGCTTCATGTTCTGTATTATTAATTAAGCATAATTTATGATGAAAAGCATTGTCAAAACCTAAAAACTATATCAGGTCCACCTGTCCAACCTTGTGGGTCCTCTGGTTTCCTCCTACTGCTTAAGACCCCTACACACAACTGAATTGTTGAAATAAAATTGAACCATATGTTAGTCCTGAAATGACCTAGTTTGTGTTGAATGGACGTTAAACCCCATTTCTCTCTCTCCCTGACATCAGGTCCAACAGTAAATGACCATGTTGAAATAAGAAGAACATAACAAACCTGTAAACGAATTCCAATACCCATATTGTGTAAAAACTTTCCTTGTTCTTTGGGACCATGTGTTATCACTGTAAAAGTATATGACATTCATATTGAATATTTTATGTAGAATGGTGTTTAATTATTTACTGTATATTTTGTTTTGTAAGAATCTGTGCTCACGTGTAAATTCAGACTCAAACCCTATAAGACACATTTTAGTGTAAAGGTCAGAGCTCATTCAAGTTGACAGACCAATGACTGACTGTTTATCTCCTGGAAGTAATGATTTAAATTTTGAATTTTGTGTCAGAAATGTATTAATAATATCAATGAAAACAGTCAAATCTGTGCCCAATAAAATGACCAGCACCAGCTCTATGATTGGTGCCTTATTTCCACGATTGCCTGTGCCTTGTATTGCCTTGTTGCAGACCAAACTATATATAAATTGAGGTCCCTGTATAAAAAAAGAAAATTTTACCTCCTACAGGTTGAACCATTCGTTTAAGATAACTGAAATCAACGTCAGCTGTTATATCTGCTGTTCCTGGTTCCACTAAAACATCATGTAACTCATGATTCTTAAAACCCTAGAAAATTATTAATTTACTAAAATTATTCATATAGTTTCAACATCTCAAAAATTTATCTTAATTAAAATGAAATGTCTAGTGGGCTAATGAAGACGGGCATACTCCATGTAGTATGTTGTGGGGGAATTTTGTCTGGACAGTGGCACAACAGTCTATTCATATTGCGATTTCCAATGTCAGGGGATTTTTAACATCTTTTAACAGGACCTCAGCTTTTTGTCCCATCCAAACAACTAGACGCCTTCGATTGTCAGGGGAAACCAGGCTAGAAAACCCCGAAGAACTTGCTTGGCCAACACCAGACTCAAACCTGGGACCTCTTGATTTGTGAGCCACGACCATGCACACCAAGCCATCATGGCTTCCTCAACATTTCGAAAACTGACCTTAAATGAAATGTTCAGTGTGTGAGTTGTTTCCCTTTAATTTGATGGACTCCTAACGATGAACAAATCCTTACTCTAAATGTATCTCTTTTATCACCATCATGTCAGTAATCTCCAATTAAGATTCCTCCACCATATTCCTTCACACTATACTCACCAAGCCATCATGGTTTCATCAACATTTCGAAGACTGACCTTATATGAAATGTTGGACTTCTAACGATGAACAAATCCTTACCCTAAATGTATCTGTTTTATCACCATCGTGTCCGTAATCTCCGATTAAGATTCCTCCACCATATTCCTTCACACGTAGAGATAAATCTTGTACTATTACACCAGCTTCAGGACATACTTCTATATGATCTCTCTTATCATTGGAGTCTGGCTACATATATAAGAAGATAGCTCAGTTATCAACATCCAACACCCTGGACACATTTGAGAGAGAAAGGGAGAAAGACAGAGAGAGAGAGAGAGAGAGGGGGTTTAACATCTACTCAACACAAACTAGGCCATATTGGGACTAACCTCTGTGTGTACAAGAACAAGAAAATGACTCAGTCATCAACATATCTACATCCTTGGACATGTTTTGGAAAGATGGAGAGAAATGGGGTTCAACAACTCAACACAAACTAGGTCATATCAGGACTAACATGGTACATTTTGTATTTCAATAATTCACTTGCACGCAGGGGACATTAGCAGTGGGAGGAAAGCGGAGGACCTAGAGAAAAACCCTAGATGTTTGGCAGGGGAACCTGCTCCTTGTCATGCATAAACTTTTGACTGAAACAATGCTATTTAACTAACATGGAGGTCCCTTGCTGGCAGAGAAAGTTCATCAGGATTTTCATGAGTAGTTCACCCTTGTCAGTGGAAAATGTAAAGTCGTTTGAATGGGACAAAAAAAAAACAAGGTCCCGTGTACACACTGACATTCACATAAAAGACCCCTTGAAGTTGGAATTCAATATAAGAGTAGGTCGTAGTGCAGCCATCCGGGCAAAATCTCCCTCATAGCACACTGTATAGCATATGCCCAGTTGGAACAGAACAGTAGGATGTTAAACCCCATTTCATTTCTTATGATCTGCAGTGTAATATTTAAGAATATTTATTCTTACCTGAAGAAAAGATAAACCAGCAGTCTTTCCACCAGCTAAAACAAAACACAGTTTATTATCTGCATTTCGACCATGAGCTAAGTCCACTAATATTTCTTGCCAGCCCTTTTCGGTTTTCTAAAAATATAAAGAATTGCTTCACTATTTCGAAAAATTAGAGACCTCGTTGAACTCTAAATTGTTTTCTCTACTTTGCGTATGTTTTTCAAAAATTTTCCTTACATAAATGAAATAAACTTTTTTGTTTATAATTAAAACAATTGTTTTTACTGTTTATAAGAAAAGTTTGACCCACTTCAAGGGATAAACATCTGTAAGTTGGCGGACAACCTTCCCAGATTTCTCTAAAGAAGGGACTAGTTTCGTTCAGTTCGAACTCTTCAAGGAATTAAAATTTTATTTCTTGAAATATATAAGAAAAATATTGCATAAATACCTGGAATTTGTGAATAGGTAAAGCATCAAAGAATTCATGAGCTATATAACACATTTTGGCTTTTGGCACATCCAGTAAACTTTGGTACCAGAATACTGGTTGTCCATATTTGGATTTTGTTGTATAATAGTGCGGGGTACCACTTAATTCTAGTTTGACTTCATCCTGATTCTTCTCTCCTGAAATCTTGGCTGCTTGAATACCACTTAATGTGGGACTGACTTCCACCAGGTGAAGAGAAACTTTACTTTTTAATTGGCTGAACCTAGAAAAAACCTGGTAAAACATATTCTATTTTAGATCTTAGCTGAATTAAAACACCATTTTCCTGCAGATACTTTTTTTTATTGTTCAGGATGACTGAATGAGATTGGGGAACAGGCTTAGCCTATGTAAAACCCCTCTCCCTAACTTAACTTGTACCAGCTTACTAATGATAGAATTTATCCATGGCTCATGCTTTGATCATATGTGCCAGTCTTAACTTAATGGGAGTGAAAAGAGCCAACTAGAGAATTTACCTGTCAGCTAATTTATGTGGCATGAAATTAGAAATTCTTAAGGATGTAACCTTAAAGATACATTATGTAAGAGCTAAATCCACCTATTATTTTGGCTTCAAATGTTATATTAACTATTATTTAGACATTTATTGACATGACAAGCCCATAATGAATTCTGTAGCTGTAGGCTATCGGATGGCTCGGATTTTAAGTGCGGTAGATAAGAACGCTTTGGCCATTTAATGATTTATTCTAAAAATGGAGAAGTGAGGAGGCTAAGTTTCGAATAACCAGTACTATAATTACAATAATAAACAATCGATGCCACATCTTGTCAAAACTACAAACATTGATAACTTCGCTCAGAATAATGTAATTTGAATGAAATTTTCAATATATTCATTTTGCATTATCTATTTTTGAACTATGATAGCAAGAACGGCTAGCTCTGTATCTAAATCTTACATAATGGATCTTTAAAACACAATAAATCAGATTTGGAACCTTCAGGTTATTGAGCCAGCGTTATACTCAAACAATCTTTGTTCAACATAGGATAGAAAATCTATAGCCTCTGATTGTCATTTTAGGGATTTCGAATCCCTTGCCAAGTGCAATTTTGTAAAAGTTAGATCTCTAAAAGGAATATCAGTTCAAAAATGGCTCAATGAAAATTTGTCAACATTCAGCATCCTATAAACAGGATGTGCTTAAAACAAGCCTAATATCTTCGCTAAAATCATTTGATTGGTCTCTTTTAAATCAAATCTACAAGCTGGTAGATTATCTATCATTGTTATTTTGTTTCTTTCTTAATTATATGTTAAATTATCAATTTTTTGAATGAGTACATTTTAGTATGGATTAAGCCGTGAAAAATTACACATTGTCCCAAAGATTGGTTGCCAGGCAACAAAACATATATGCCCACAGCAGCTAAATCGTCCAAGAAAGCAAATGAAGATCAGCGGTATTAAAAACATACTCTGCACATATCATCAGCTAATGTTCCTCGTCCTGGTCCTAACTCCACCACTTGTAATTCACCCTCGGATCCTCCTTGTATCCATTCATTAACACACCATATCCCTATCAACTGGAATATATTAATAAAATAATAATGTAGAAAATAAGTGGAAAAATATTGCAATAATACAGACATTAAAGATACATTATGGGAGATTAAATAAAGAGATGACAGTTCTTGCTATAATAGTTTAAAAATAGAATATGCTGAACATTTTAGTCAAATTGATCCACTCGGAATTTTAGGCTAGCCTCGATCATCATTACTAAAGTTAGTACGATAAAAACAAAGTCTTGATGATCTGTTTTAACGTTTAATTATTTTTCACAAAATATATTCCAATCTGCTAAATATCACAGACTAGTGATGGCATCGAGAGTTTAGTATGGTCTGGATAAGTTAATTAATGTCTAATTAACAATTAAGATCACATTTCAGCCTAAAGAAAGACCTGCAATAGGCAGATTTAGCTCTTGCATAATGTATGTTTAAGGTACACATGAATAATATCAGTTTTCAACATAGAGTACACATCATACAAATATTCCTATCAACTCGAATATATTAATAAAATCATAATGTATAAAAATACACATAGTACACATAATAAATATATTGTACACTAAAACCAACTGATTTATTCATTTAAAACAATGTATAACACCAACTGATCAGGGGTTAATATCTCTATCAACACAATGCTTGAAATATTCTGAGACTAACTTATTAATTCTTATTGGTATGGTTAATAATAATATCTTTTTATATTTAATGAAGTATTTAAAATATTTTTGAAATCTGAATTCTAATAAATTTTTTGATACTAACATATATGATAATCTTTATATTTATTGTAGAAATCTGTATTCTAATGATTGTTTAATTAAAGCTCATAGAATTCATGAAATATTTTTAGTATTATTCAAATCTGTATTCTAATGCAATCTGATTAAAATACAGATCTATATTTTGTTTAATTTTTTTGATACTTTCAATGGCCTACACTACTTGAAGGTCTGTCAGGGGTCGTATGTCAGACATTGATTAATCAATAAGCGTTGACGTTTCTAGTGGTTTACCCACAGTTCCGTACATGGATGGTGCCATAACAGACCATTTCATTGGCTTATCCCTCAATTCAACGCCTGTAATATAACAACTCTTCCAGATCCTAGTGTAGTAAAGACAAGTAAAACGAAATTTTAAACTAAAATACGAAACGAAATAGGATTTGTGTTTTAATCAGATTGTATTCTATTTTGAGATTAACATATGGAAATATTTATTTCCATGTTTACATTTATAGAATTGATGAAATATTGTTTAAACATACATTATGCAGGAGCTTAATCTGTCTATTGCAGGTCTCTCTTTAGACCTGAAATGTTATCTAAATTATTAATTAGACATTAATTAACCTTTCCAGGCCATAATCAACTCTAGATGGCAGCGCTAGCCTGCGATCTTTAGTGGATTGTAAGCCGATTTACTGCATAACTTTCCTTCTCGATTAAACGTTTAAATGGATAATCGAGACTATGCTGTTTATCGTACTGACTTTAGTAATGATGACCGAGGCTTATAGGAATTTCCGTCGCTTAGTTCTCGGTTCATAGTGGATCAATTTGACTGAAATTTTCAGCAAATTGCCTTTACATTATGTAGTTTTTAACTATTATAGTGAGAACTGCCAACTCGTTACCAAATCTCCCATAATGTATCTTTAAATCTAGATTCTAATGTTGGTTTTTATTTTTATTTTGATGGTTACATTTATAGAATTAATAAAATATTGTTTAAATCTTGATTCAAATGTTGGTTATTATATTGTTTGCAGTATATGATAATATTATTACAGCTGGTTCAATATATGTAACTACCTACTTCACCAAACATCTGGCTTATTTCTGGACTAGTTATAAAATCTCCTTTAGCTCCAAATACATCACGATTCATATAATAACCCTGTAATAAATTCATAAAACTTATTCAAATATATTCATCAATTATATTTACCATAATAATTTTAATATTTTATATTACGATCACTTGTGTAGTCAGTAATCAATACCAATACTAAGATAACTGAGGGCAAAAATTTATTATCGGTAGTGAGAGAGAGAGAGAGAGGGAATTGGGGTCTAATATCCACTCGACACAAAATAGATCATCTCAGGTCTAACATATGGTTCAGTTTTATTTACATAAATCGCGTGTATGTAGGGGTCTTTAGCAGTGGGAGGAAACCGGAGGAGCCGGAGAAAACCCACGAGGTTGGACAGGCAACCCTACTCCTTGTCACGTACAACCGGGGAATCGAAACCACGCCAGTTGACTCAATGACAGACTATATGATACAACGCACACGTGCTAACTATTCAGCCATCCAACCCCCCATTCGTAGTGAGAATAGAATGTCCATATTAAAAATATCTTTTTACACATATACGTTGTCCGTAATAGTATTGTGTTTTAGTTTTTCGTTATTTGATGCTCTTGGATTACGTCGACAAAATTTCTCTTTTAAATTAAAGGTAAGTTACCAGTCAATGGAGAGAGAGAAATGGGGTTTAACATCCACTCTACACAAACTAGGTCATTCGGCTCTAACATATGGTTCTATTTTATTTCAATAATTCGCTTGCGCATAGGGGTCTTTAGCAGTGGAAGGAAACCACTGGACAAGTTACTCTACTCCTTGTCAAGTACAACCGGGGAAGCCAGCCAATGGAACATACTCCCACAGCATTATAGCAATCCATAAAGGTTGTCAAATAAAAGAGTTAAAAAAAGGGCAAAATCTTAATATCATTGGTGCATCGATATGATTCTACAACACAACTAAGGGCAATAACTCTAGAAATAATTATCATGGCTGTAATAATTAAAGTTGCTTACAGATACTGGATTTGTTAAAACTTCTTTCATATATTCAGCAACTGTGAGAGGTCCACTTGCTTTAATACGTGATTCTAAATGTCTTAATAAATGATTTTCTTTGTTGTCAACAGATAAAGATGACATATATCTACCACCATGATTAAATATACATTTATCTAAATTAAAAAAATAAATACTGTATTTGATGCTTAGAATCTGGCACATTGAATATTTGTTCAGAAAGAGAGAGAAATGGGGTTTAACATCCACTCGACACAAGCTAGGTCATTTCGGGACTAACATATGGTTTAATTTTATTTCAATCATTCGCTTTCGCGTAGGGGTCTTTAGCAGTGGGACGAAACCGGAGGACCCAGAGAAAACCCACGAGGTTGGAAGGCCACCCTACTCCTTGTCACGCACAACTGGTGATTCGAAACCACGTCAGTTGACTCAATGACAGGCCTTATGATAGAGCATGTGCTAACCAATCGGCCATCTAAACCCCACTTGTTCAGAAATAAGGGCCCTTATCAAGTTGGCATCGAACAAAAGGGTCTTATACATTTATTTTATGGTAGCGTGCCAGCAAATGTTCTTATGGCATTATGTGAGTGTGGGTGCTTGTTACACTGATCAGCAGTGAATATTCGCTAGGCCACTACTGATAAGGATGACATCGATGCGACTTAATAAGTCAAAAATATTACCTTTTTTCCACTGAAAAATTAAATTCTAAAACATTTTTTTTATGTATTAGAAAATAAATAAAGACGTTTGAAGTATTTGTAGTTAAAAATTATTTCCTATTTAGTGTAAATGGGTATCAAAATTAGTAAAAGACTCCATTCTGCCCAAACTAGTAACGTCTTATGTAAACAATGCACGCGTCATTGAGCCAATGATTGACACCATGTGATGTGACGTCATGTCTTGAAGGCAGTCATCTTTCATAATCCTCTGTGAAACAGATTGGATGATTGTTACAGTTCGATGAAATTCAGCAAGTGTTAGGATATTCTGTTGAAAACGTGGTGATGGATGCATTCATCTTACTTAAAACCTTAGGATTTTTCAAGCTGGTTGTCTAGTCCTTTGGAAGGGATGATAATCAATATATAAAATCCATATGCACACAGGCATTCATGTATACAATGAACCCTAGTTAATTAATTGGAATTTGATGAAGATATAGGTGGGAATGCCTCTGCATGTGTTCCTGCACAACTGTCCTCCACAGCATTGCACACATGAACACATTGGTCTTAATATGACCAATCTAGTATTGTGTTGATAGACATGAAACACCATTCCTATCCTAAACTAATTACCAAATTTAGCATCTTAAAGATACATTATGGGAGATTAGATAAAGAGCTAGTAGTTTTCACTAAATAGTTATAAACTAGATAATGTAAAGAGAAATTGCTGCAAATTTTAGTCAAATTGATCCACCCTGAACTGAGTGTTTAGCAATTGAATTTTGGGCCTCGACTCGATCATCATTACTAAAGTCTGTACGATAAAAAACATAGTCTCGATTATCCATTTTTTTTTATTTAATCAGAATCAGAAGCAGCAGATTCTAATCTGGGATCAAACAGTCTTATTACCATGTGAACCCTGTACCCCACCCCACAAACATTTTACTGCTTTCTGCTGCTGGTACCATATCTTAATTGCGGTCTAAAAATAAGCATACTCTCCATCATGCACAATCAATGATCATACATGTCAATAGTTTAAATATACTACATGTTCATGGAGAGATGATTCTGACTTGGATTTAAGAAGTTGACGCTACTAATTAGTATGTGACATTTCCGCAATGGTGACCTAGCTGCCGACTGGTAAATACTTTAAATATACATGTGTTGATATTAGAGATAGTTCTCCCCTGAATATAAAAACAGACCCTTAATCTCCCAGAATATAAAAAACAAACAGTAAACATAGTTTGAATGGATGTCAACATTGGAAAAAATCTACAAGACGTTTAACATGTAGGCTGTCATAATAAATGATGCAATGGAACGTTACGCCTGTGCATTATGTCAATAGCTGTCATTCAATCATCAGAATCCTGTTCTGTACCTGTTCACTGTCACGTAAGTAACCCACTGTTTGGACATTAAATGAGTAGACCCCACCGGTATTTGCAAATAAAATATTTCTATTTTACCTAACTGACGAGTCAATGGTCTACACAGATAGCTTGAATGAAATAACAGACGAGCCGTCGCCATGATTAAATGCTCTGAATCAAATAAATTAAATTGTTATCAAGTGAACATTATTATTTTGACATTTTGAAACGAACATGTGCGTGGGATATCCCCTTGACCTTAAAACAGGGAATTCCGCCCTCGATATGGCTACAAATATTCTCGCCACGTCTTCTTAGCTAATACAATTCCTCCGCAGAAACAATCTGTCGATTCTCTGCACACTCTTGAATTACACATAAAAAAATAAGTATTTTATTAAATATAATGTAAGATTTGATGATCGAATTACTAACATTGACCCTGTATCAAGGAAGATTATTAGAACTATTTTGTCAGTCGTATTCACATCCGTATAATCGGCATTTGGCTATTAAAGCATGAAAATAAACAAGTACAGGTGACGTTTATGTATGAATCTCAAAGTAACAAGTTGTTTGAGAGGTAGATGATTATCGACGATTAGTACCATGAAGTTTTATCTTGGTGCGATCTTGTTGGTACTGTTTATTGACGTAACATTCCAGGAAAAGAATAATAAAAGTAAAAGCTCCAAAGCAGCCGATCGATGTTTCTGCAAGGTAAGTTTCATTGGCATCGAATTAAAAAAAAATAGAAAGTGATTGATGATGCACTCAGTGTCATGCACGATGGAATACGTATTGTTACGACATCATGTTCATCATTCGATTTGGTGATTGCGTACTTTGTTGTTGGGCAAAACAGTTATGTGGTGACTGTGTTAGCTATAAATTTTAAACATTTAATTCGAATCTAAATAAGATATAATTTAGAATCAGTAGAAATTAGAATGACCAATTGACATTTATGGTTTTAGAGAATGACAGTGTGGTTTATCGCTAAGTCATGACATGGATTCCCTATGCCAGGTTCCCACTAGGCCTATCACGATTCATGCTACAATTGAAATCATGGTTTTAATCATGGAGTAATCGTGGTGACCCTATCAGGTCTTTTCATCTATTATGGTCATTCATAACATATCCGAACGTATCTGCATGTGCCCGATCGTGGACTCAATAGGCAGAACCCTATCGTAACGCATTGCACGACAGTGGGAACTTATCATTATATGGTGCCGGGTTTGGAAAAAGATTCATTTCAAATTAGGATAAGGATAAAACACAACATCCCAGACAAAATTTTCACAGTCACATTGCACTGTTTTGTAAGAAATAAAAATGCAGTCTGTTAGTCTTAAAATTATAAAGGCTTCTCGACTCTTATAGAAAAGGTTCCTTATGAAACTAGGGAAACAAATGTGTATCTGATGCTTTTTCAATCGAATCCCATGCAGGGGCTAAGAGAGAGGGACGCAATGACGAGCTTTGGTCATGGTTCTAAGTTTTTGCGCCCCCTTGAGTTTTTGTGCCCCCTCAAAAATGGCAAAAAAATCATGTGGTTTCAATGCGGTTTTCAACATTATAATCATAATCAAAATGCTCAACCAGTGTCAAACATATACCGAGGGTCAGATATGCTACAAATTGAAACTCAATATTACTCGGCCACACTGGGAGGGACCCCTTTTCTCCAACTCGCCTGCACACACATATAAAAAAAAATTTTGTGGCCTGGATGGGATGTTGTTCCTCATGCAAAATCATGGATCACCGCGCCCCTGGTCCCATGCTCAAGGAACCGAGTGAAACTGTGACGCCACCTTATCATACTGTCATAAATAACATTTGCTAAATATAAATAAACATAAAATAAACCTCAAAAGTAAACCAACAATGCTTTGTTGTTAATATTCTGCCCTTATAAGCTGCCCAAGTTATTATATGAATGATGTTTTATGTGACTCATAATTTGAAAGTTAAACCATGTTCATGTATATCACTGCAATAATATCAGATTTTGCATACAGTATAATTTGAACATTCACAAGGTAACTGTGGATTGAATTAATCAGGATCAAATTGATTGAATTAATAATTGATCATATTGATTGAATTAAAGATTAATCATATTGCTTGAATTCAAAATATATCTTGGCAAAGTTTTCAAGAGTATTCTTTCAATGTTTTCAAGTATACTTATTGCCAAAATATATTGGTAATTGTTCTTCCATAAGTATGTATAGTATTATAGTTTATTGCTCTATCCAGTTATTAAATGTCCCCAAAGGATTTAAATTAATTGTATTAAAGGGAATGTTGATATATTTACTTCTACAATAATATTTATTGTTTATCAGTTGGTAAATGGAAATATTTTCTTGTTTGTTTGCATCACTGTTAAATGTCAACTGACAGAGGAAACAGTAACATGTTAAATGTCAACAGCCATTTTACCAATTTATCAATTATCATTTATTTTTAAAAGTCAGGTACTGACTGTCTCCATTTTGTTCAATAATAATAAGGAATTTTGCTTTACTCTGTGTAAGCGTACTTGGAAAAGGTCAAATGTTTTTATATTTTATATTGTAAACTATAATTCATTTTCTTGTGGCCTTTCATTTGTGAAAAAGTAGCCTAGAATGAAGAGATTGAGATCCATGGTGAAATGAATCTTGGTTTAACTAGGATAATAAGTGCAAGATTCAAGAAAACTGGATATGTATTATAGATAGTAAAGTGGTCCTGTTCCAGATAAAGCCTAATTTTGTGTCAACAATGTCTATGACAGGTGCCTTAATTAGGGCTGGCGAAAAATATTGATATAGCCGATAATCGTCGGCGACTACGGGAAGACATCGATATTGATATTCAGTTCTTGATATCGATACTTGTATATAAAAAAAAGGGGCTTCAACAGCGATTGATGGCGAGCGCGAAGCTGCGAATACTATTTTGTTAATAACACCATCAGATAAGTTGTGAACGAAACAAACATTAAGAAAACAAAGTTTGAGGATCATAGTTTTTTATGTGATCAATAACATATTTAGATGCATTATTAGCATACAAACAGTTATTTCTTTCAACTTCAAATTTTCTGATGGCGATATATCAATATCGATATTGCCAAAATGGTTGCCGATATCGATTGCAAGCCCTAGCCTTAATTCCAGACTTGATGATATGCCTTTCTGTGATTATAATAATATTTGTCAGAAATTTTTGTATATTTGATGTGAAGTAAATATAAATATGATTTTTAACAATTTTGTATTTTAACTTTTTTTAACGTCCTCCTCCACAATGAATTGTTATCGCATAGATTTTAAAACTGGGCAGTTGGGTGGCCAAATGGCCTGATGTGGACACTTTAGATCATTAGGTATGTCATTGGGTCAAGTGGCATGGTTTCAAATTTGATCCCACATTAAATGTGACAAGAAGTAGGGTCGTCTGTCTAACCTCATGGGTTTTCCACAGGTCCTCCGGTTTCCTCCCTTTTTTAAAGACCCTTACGTACAAGTGAATTATTCAAATAAAAATTGTATCATATGTTATTCTCGAAATAGCCTTGTTTGTGTTCAGTGGATGTTAAACCCCATTTCTCACTATGTTTGAAATGTATTGTTGTATTTTTTTCAGTTAAAAGGTGAAATAGATGATTGTACATGTAAAGTAGAAACAATTAGTGATATCAACAACAACAAAATATATCCTAGATTAAAGAGTCTACTCTCCAGAAACTATTTCAGATATTTTAAAGTAAGTATCTTCTATATATATATTTATATATTTGTGACTGTCATTTGTCTGTCTGTTAAGGGTTGGTAAAGACTTAGGACTGCCCTGAATCGTAAATTTGGCATATAAGGGCAGGGCAGCTTGAGCCAGCCCAGGGGGGTGACATAGGCCTGGTGAAGTTGGACTACCACTTCTGGTTTCGGAGTTAAACTACTTCTGGCTTTACGTAACTCCTATAAATAAGGAAATAGGGCGTTCATGTTTGATTCTCAAGGTAAGATAGTACCAGGTGTTTTCCAACTAACAATGATATGTATCTACATCAATTATCATGACATTCAGGGTAGTTTAAGTGTAATAGTTAATTCTATCTGTATCGGGCGATATATTTCGCTTTCAATATCTGATATCGGTAAAAAAAAACGATAGTAGCTATATCGGACCATCACTACTCTAGTGCCTTATGTTTTGTTAAACATAACAAAGTTATAATAGTCTGAAGGAAAAAAAGCTTTCAATCAGTCAGGTTCCTAGTGAAATCCTAGATATATAAATGTATTCTCAAGAACCCCTGACAATTTGAATTCAATAATGAGTTGGAAGAAAAACATCGCCGTCTTAGCAAAGTTATTCCTTAAAGCAAAGAGTATGGTGTACGCCTGTCTTCATTAGCCTGGTAGTTTATAAAAGTAGGACGTAATTTTTAAAAAGCTTCAGTATAGATAAATAAAAATCAAATAAAAGACACGATTCTGTGACTGTGTAAAGAATTTTAAAAACTTATTTCGCTTTTTTTAAACCATTTTGTTCTGTACATCAAAAATATGTTAATATTTAGAAATTTATTTATGCTGTCAAGCAGGGCTATTTAAAGATTTATAGAAATAAATTTATTTATGCTGTCAAGTAGGGCTATTTAAAGATTTATAAAAATAAATGCATCATACATAGATTTTACTCCGAATATTATTAAGAGGATTACAAATTTATGGATTAAATTTATGATGATTGAGATCGTCAATTCGTGATTAATCAATAAAAATGCAGGTGTTCAATATCAAACTTGGTGATAAAATTTTGTTCATTACTCGCATAAATCATGAAATTTTTGTTCCATATAAATCAATATGAAAATATAGAAAAGTGATGTTAGTTTGGACATTTCTCCCAAATTGATATTAATTACTCTATCCCAGGAGAGAGAAAAATGGGGTTTAACATCCACCGTTTGCGCATAGGGGTCTTTGGCAGTGGGAGGTAACCAGAGGAACCAGAGAAAACCCTATGCTGTATTGATAATTGATGTTTAATCCTACAAAATATTAGTCTCCATTAACCATTATCATGATTTGTAAAAGGAAAAACATCAGCTTTTTTTTTAGAACTTTAAGAAATATAATTTGCTTGGTGATAAAATTTATTTAGTTGCCTGTTTAAATATAATACTGAAATATATAGACACATAAAACTTCCTAAATTCACTAAGAAATAATGAACAAAAAACGAGGTTAAATCAGTCTTAACTAGTCTCCTGAATATTTTACGAGACAACTATTGTTTATTTTACAGAGTAAATATCAGTTTCGTGTTTTCTTCTGTTGAATAATCTTTAGTTAAATATTGTCTTTCTAACTGTTAAAGTTTTCATATAATCTGACTTTAAAGGACCGCATCTAGGTAATTTCAGTAGCATGAGTTACAAAAAGATGCTAAACCATTCTGGATCATTTATAACCCCAACAAAATCAATGATACTGATCGATTTGTGCATACATGTAAAAATGATAATTTAATAATTTATTGAACTTGTATAGTGCCGAAATCCAGCTTGTAAAGCTGCTCTGTGGTGCTTGTACAAAAAAAAAATATGATTATGAGTACACAATGTAAAACAGTATAGATAGAAAATCATAAAAAAAAATAAAATTAAACTATTTCTTGAAACAAGATAATAGGATTTAGAAAAATAGTAGGGTACAGGTACAGATAAAATATAGATCGAAAATCATAAACAATTAAACTTAAAGATACGTTCCCAGAAAAGTATTTTATCGGGTGGTTATTTCCAATAAAAGTATGGCAATTTTGGTTTATATGGAAAGTAGAAATATCCAATCTTACTAGAAAAATACTGGATTCCCTGAAAAACACTCATGAAGCGCATACAATACAGGACAAAAATGTAAGGGTTTCCCTAATTGGCAGCCCGACGATTAGGAATGTCTGCTCGCGTGATATCAAATGTTGCACGCGGAGATTGAGCGCTTGATGTATGTGTTGATAAACTTTATGAAGGGTTAGATGTAAAACACTTTCTGAGATAAAAATCACGGAAAAAGACGCGGGTAGTGGATAATCCGAAAATTTAATTAGGCTTCGATATTTATGATAAATGGATAGCGATTAAAGACAACATCACCTTGTATATGCAATGAATTCTTTTCCGTCTTCGCACTTGTTGCTAGGTAGTTCGTCCGCGAAGTCACGTGGCACAAACATGGCCTCATTTAATAGATTTGTTTATAGGAGGGGTATTCCGTCACGTAAACAGTGTTTTGAGAAGGATTTGAAGCAAAATTTTGATAGATTAATTAGTTTGAATGTGTTTTTAGTCCAAATACATCATCAAATCACCCAGTTTGTACACGGGAACGTATCTTTAAACTATATGGTAAAACAAATAAATAGCAGGGTACAGATAAAATATAAAACATTAAAATAATTGGTAAAAGGGAAAATTACGTGAAGGCTTTTCGGAACAATTCTGTTTTTAGGTTCTTTTTAAAAAAACATTGAAACTTAAAATGTAATGTCATATTGCGTCTGTCTTATCTTTTTCTATTTCCAAATCTTTTCCATATGAGAAATAGAAGTATATTGAAGATGCATTATTTAGCATTTAGATAGAGAGCTTGTAGTCCTTGCTATAATAGTTTAAAAATAGGTAATGAAAATTTAATATATTGAAAACTTCAAATTATCTCAATGTAAGCGAAGTTATGAGTCTTTATAGCACACTGATCAGCAGTGAATATTTGCTAGGCCGCTACAATCACTGATAAGGATGACATCAATGCGACTTAATGAGTTTCAAATATTAACTTTTTTCCACCGACAAATTCAATTCTAAAACATTTTTTTTTATGTATACTATTAAAAAAAAGTAGGGGATATTTGATTTTTAAGTGTTATTAAAGTCACCTAATGAAACTGACGAAGAAACAAATGACAAAATGAAATGAAGTTCACATTCATCGATTTATTCCAAATGATCGTTAGACTAAGTAAGGCACAGACTGACCATTATAAGGGTAAAATGATACCCGGGGTCAAACAGCAAAGTGACCACAGCATCACAACCAAGTCAGTAACGGGTAAATCCTCCTCTGTTTGCCAAACAAGCATTGATCCGACGTGGCATACTCCTAATGAGACGTCTAAGGTCATTTTGGTCCAGATTGTCCCATTCCTGTTGCAACGCAGCAGCAAGTTCTTGGACATTGGCAGGACGTTGTTGACGTTGACGTAACCTCTGTCCAAGCATGTCCCAGACATGCTCGATGGGGGAGAGGTCGGGACTCAGTGCTGGCCAAGGTAATGTGGTGATGTTCTGTTGTTGGAGGTAACCTGTAACGATCCTGGCCCTGTGACATCTTGCGTTGTCATCCTGGAAGATGAAACGGCGGCCATGACGTCGTGCGAACGGCACAACATGGACTGCCAAGATGTTGTCCCGGTAGTACTGGCCTGTAACACGCCCTGCAACAACATGTAAAGCCGTTCTTCCAGCAACAGTGATGCCTCCCCACACCATAACAGAACCACCCCCAAATCGATCATGTCTGATGACGTTAACGTCTTGGAAGCGCTCGTTTCGACGACGCCACACCCTCCTACGTCTGTCCAAAAAATCAACAGTGAACCTTGACTCATCTGAAAACATCACATTGCTCCAGCGTCGATTATCCGAGTGATGACGATCCCTACACCAACGACATCTTGCCTGAATGGGATGATCTCTCAAACAAGGGATCACGCGAGGACGTCGGGCGAGAAGGTGACCCCTATGCAGTCGATTCCGAATCGTCTGGCCACTCACTCTCACACCAGTGTCTGTTTGAAGACGAGCGCTGATCTGATTTGCTGTGATGACACGATTTCTCAAGGCCAAGGTACGGATAAATCGATCCTGGGCTTGAGTTGTCGCCCTTGGTCGACCTGAGTGTGGTCTGTCCTGTACAGATTGTGTATCACGGTATCTGGACCATAGCCTGCTTATGACAGACTGAGAAACATTCATCGTCCGCGCCACAACCGCCTGTGTTGTGCCGATCTGTAGCATGCCAAGGGCACGTAACCTTTCATTTTGGGTAAGCCGACGCATATCAAAATTTGTTTTCTGGTCACTAAAACAATTAAACTGATGTTTCCACCCTGGAATTCAATGCCACAATGACTGTAACATTCAAAGTCAGAGTCGTGCAAATCTTGGGTTGGACCCCCATGATGATCCCAAGCATCACCTGCATTCCATGCGGTAGCTATTGGTGCGTTTGGGCGTCACATGTAACTGGAAATGTTTCTTCTGTTAGGTTCTATAGTGACTTTTTTCGTAGTCATTTGCATATTTTAGTATTATGCCCCCAAAATCAAATATCCCCTACTTTTTTTGAATAGTATATTAGAAAAATAAATAAAGATGTTTGACATATTTGTAGGTAAAAATTATTTCCTATTTAGTGTAAATGGATATTAAAATGACTAAAAGGCAGCATTCTGCGCGAATCTGTAACGTCTTATGTAAACAATGCACGCTCCATTGAGCCAATGATTGACGCCGCGTGACATGACGTCATTTGTTGAAGGCAGTCATCTTTTACAGAGATATTAGAAGACTTTCCTAATACTCTGTGAAACAGATTGTCTTTATAGGTTTCACAATATAGTCTTGATTGTCAAGTACCATTGTTATGATATAAAACAAAGTCTTGACTATCTGTTGTTAAATTAAATTATTAAATGGCAATCGTGTTTTAATCCATTGAAAATCTCGACCATCCGATGATCAAGAGAGTTGATTGTGCATCTTTAAAGGCCCATGTCTAGTTAATTTCTTTATGCTAGGTTTCCACTGTCGTGCGATGTGTCACGATATTGAGTCCACAATCTGGTACATGGAGATACAATCGAATACGCTTAGATACTATCAACATGATTGCTTCGACTGGCCACAATATATGATAAGACCTGATAGGATCACCATGATTACTTCACGATTAAAACTCTGATTACAATCGTAGTGCGAAAAGTGATAGTGGGGAACCTAGCATTAGCAAAAAATATCTTCTGGATCTTTGATAACCTCAACAAAAAGACGCTAAACCATTCTTAGTATCAGTCATTCTGCACACAGACAACTATCTTCTTCGAGAATAGATCTCTGCCCTAAACGACCGCCATATCCAAAAAATAGTATACTATTTTGTAATGTGGTTCTACTCCAGTTTCATATCTGTCATACACACAAAGACTAAATAAACCTTTACAATGATATTAAATTGAAGCCGAATAAATATTTCTCAAAATTAATAAAGTATAATTAGAGTTTTTGACAGAAATTGTCGATTTACTAATTAAAATGTCAGTCAACTAGCTTAGTGTAAGTTTAGTGTGTGTCTGTCTTCAGGTAATGAACTTTTTCTATACATCTATTTCTTCTCCATTGTGTAGATATTTAAACTTCTGTTTATAATCATGAGAAAAAGAAGCATTTTGATTTTAAATTACCCATAAAAGAATAAATGTGTGACACCATTTACTGACTACTCTGACAACTTAGTTGTTGTGAGTGTATATTTTGTTGTCTGACAACCTATATTTGCTTCTTTTTTTTTGTGCCGTCAATCTCAAACAAAACCTTTAATGTTTTAAGGGGGGTTGGATGGCTGAATGGTTAGCGTGTGCGCGCTGTATCATAAAGTCTGTCATTGAGTCAACTGGCATGGTTTCGAATCCCCAGTTGTACGTGACAAGGAGTAGGGTCGCCTGTCCAACCTCGTGGGTTTTCTCCGGGTCCTCTGGTTTCCTCCCACTGCTAAAGACCCCACGCGCAAGCGAATTATTGAAATAAAATTAAACCATATGTTAGTCCCGAAATGACCTAGTTTGTGTCGAGTGGACGTTAAACCCCATTTCTCTCTCTCTCTCTTTAATGTTTTAAAAAGTTGCATGTTTTTCTGTTTAGAATATTTATTTTACAACTATTAATATTTAACCCTGACATATTGATCGATATACTGATAATGTTAACATATGGAAGTTTATTATAGTGATTTGTTATTGTGACATTTGGTTTAATAATGATTTATCAGGTCAATCTAATAATGCACAGCAAATCGGTATATACATGTAGTTTGTGTACAATGTACGAGTAAATTGATATCAGTCAGGTTTACAAATGAAACCTAATATGTATTGAACATTTTTTAACTGCTCTGGACAGCGTTCTTTTGAAATAGGGTTTAACGTCCTACTGTTCTGATCCAATGTGGTTAATAAAGATGAGCATACTGTGTGCTATTAGGGATGTTTTGCCCGAACAGCGACGCTACGGCCTACTTTCATATCTAATTCCAACTGCCAAGGGGTCTTTTACGTGCACACCAATGTGTACACGGGACATCGGTTTTTCATCCCATCCGAATGACTCGACAGCTGTCCTTGTCAGGCCCTCCATTCTTCACCACTAACAAGGGGAAACCATGCTGGAAAATCCTGATGAACTTTCTCGGCCAACACCGGTAGCGAACCCGTGACCTCCAGGCTAGCGAACCAGCGTGTTATGGAACTAGCTTCCAGCAACACCAGAAATGCTGAAACAGTTCATATTTTTAAGCGTCTTTTAATAACTCACTTTTTTGGCCAGACTTTTTAATTGTGCAGTGCTTTAGAGCACAACGGTGGATAAAGTGCTATATAACTTTTCATAATAATAATAATAAATTCGTAGAAGAATTCTTCCTTCTGCCTGTTTAACATGTAAGTGTTTTTGCAAAACGTGCACCTTTTTACTGACATTAGTGGTCTAATACAAATGCAATGGGACCGGTTCCATATAACCAGTGAAAATCAGACTTTCTGGTGTATGTAGTAGTTTTCGTAGTTACAGAAAATTAAAATATCTGGTTATTGCCCAGACATTTTCCATAAAATCCCTTTAAATGTAGTATAGGATCTTCATTTTGTTTTTAGAAAGCAGAATGGAAAATTTACCATGTATTTTTATTTTATTTTATAAATTTCAGGTGAATTTAAAGAAGCCATGTCCATTTTGGCCAGATGATAGTCGATGTGCTTTAAAAGATTGTCATGTTGATAAATGTAAAGAGGTAATGTGTAATGACCTTATTTTTTCATTGAGGGTTGGTTGCTCATCGTTTAAATGTGTATTCATCGAGGGTCAGGCCTGTAACTAGGGGGGGCAAAATTGTCGACCATAAAAAAAAAAATAGACATACATTGTCCGTCAATTTTACAGCAGCCCTGAGAACACTTCCCGCCCCCCTCGTTGCTCTGAGCTAGTTACGGCCCTGTTGAGGGTTTGTTGCTCCTTGTTTAAATGTGTATTCATTAAGGGTTGGTTGCCGGCTCGTGGTTTAAATGTGTATTCATTAAGGGTTGGTTGGTTTTGGTTTAAATGTGTATTCATTGAGGGTTGGTTGTAAACCTGTGGTTTAAATTAATTCATTGAGGGTTGGTTTATATTCATTCATTCATTCATTCATACATTCATTACATCCTTCACTCAAGTATTCAGAAACCTGTAGTTACTATAGGATGTCAAATCAGTACATTTGATCAAATATTTTTATTCATTGAGGGTTGGTTTATATTCATTCATTCATTCATTCATTCATTCATTCATTACATCCTTCACTCAAGTATTCAGAAACCTGTAGTTACTATAGGATGTCAAATTAGTACATTCGATCAAATATTTTTATTCATTGAGGGTTGGTTTATATTCATTAATTCATTCATTCATTCATTACATCCTTCACTCAAGTATTCAGAAACCTGTAGTTACTATTCGATCAAATATTTTTATTCATTGAGTGTTGGTTTATATTCATTCATTCATTCATTCATTCATTACATCCTTCACTGAAGTATTCAGAAACCTGTAGTTACAGGATGTCACACCAGTATTATCAATCAAATAGATTATTTTTTTTCATATGATTTTCAATATCTAATGCATTTTCATTAGGTTGTATTTTCTGCTTAGCCATCTTTAATTTCTAAATTTTATATGCATAACCATTCTTTATAAATGATGATATTTTAGAATTTGAATATTCCATATTAAGTAATTATTTACAAAGGATTTCTTTCCTATCTGCTTTTAAGCTTCTTAGAAAGTAATTTAACTTTTAATACTTTAATAAAAGTATGACTTTAGGCTTAAGTAATATTGAAAAACGTGAACATCACTTTTAATCCATTTGGAAATGAAGCTGCCTTTGGCGACAAGAGATAGTAACAATATTGTTATTTATTTATAAACAAACAATGGTATTAAGTGTTTACATGCAGTTCTATGGATAACAGAAACCATAAATTAACAATCATGAAACCCCAGCTTAATTAAAGATACATCATGGAAGATTAGATAAAGAGCTGGCAGTTCTCACAATAATGGTTAATAATTAGATGATGTAAAGGGAATTTGCTGAAAATTTCAGTCAAATTGCTTCACTCTAAGTCGAGTAAACCTTATTTTAAAATCACTGTAGCCTCGATTCTTAACGCTAAGTCTCGGTCCTCCATATTTGATTAAATCAAAGTATCGCTGAACCATTCTAATCTATTTAATATCAAAGAAATCTGATGCCATCGAGAGTTGATTAAGGCCTGGATCAGTTAATTAATGTCTAATTAATACTTTAGAAAACATTTCAGGCCTAAAGAAAGATCTGTAATAGGCAGATTTAGCTCTTGCATAATGCGTGTTTAATAGTTTATATAACGATTTTTCCACAATGAAACTGAAATTCCAACATTATTCCGATATTTCAGATTTTAATGAAGACATGAAAGATAATAGCCATTTTAATTATTGACCTCGATAGTGTCACAATTATCCAAAATAACAATTATGGAGATCAAAGTGTTAATTACAAAGTGGTTTGTATTTATCAGATACAACCATTTAACACTTAGACCACCAATAACTAGGCCCTCTTAGAGAACCCAAAACTGTCAAGAGTTGCGTGAATAGATGTGACACGCCCAATAAATAGTATATGGTCCTACAAGACGGGTGGTTTGTGTCTATTAAAGGAAGAATAATTTTGGGCTGCTCGAGGATATATCAGTATCATGAACTATATCAATTTTCTCTAATTATATTCAAACAGAGGGAGACAATATTTACATGTACGGAGTACTGAATAAACGGTTATATAAAATAATGTTTGTTTACAGTAATTGACGTTATTGTGAGTTAATGCTAATTAGCAAATATAGGAGCTTGAAATGTTAGAACTTCTAAATTATAACACATTCAACGTTTGATATAAACAATGGACATTCAATAAGAATATTGAAAATAAATGAACTTGAACTCTTAGAACTTCTAAATTAATACATATTCATAGTTTGATATATGCCTAAACAATGGCCATTCATCAATAATATTGAAAATAAATGAACTTAACTCTTAGAACTTCAGATTCAAACACACCCAACGTTTGATATAGGCCTAAACAATGGGCATTCATCAATAATATTGAAACTTTTGATTCAAACACACCAAACGTTTTTAGTTAGATAAAAGGTTGATTCGTGACAACTGATTGTTTTGTATCATTGTCACTTGAATGAATTTCATATCTGTTGGTAACTAATAATTTAAAGATACATTAGTTAAGAGTTTAATAAAGAGTTGGTCATTCTTGCTATAATAATTCAAAAATAGATAATAATGAAAAAAGAAAATATTGAAAATTTCAGTCAATTACTTTATTCTCAGCCAAGTTATCATTGTAGTTTTGACAAGATGCAATATTTTTATTCAGATTTCTATCTGAATAGGGATTGGGGAACAGGCATAGCCTATATTAAACCCTTTTTAAATTAAATTTTAAAATGGCAAACCGTTTTAATCTAGTTGAAATTTTGAGTATCCGATGACATCGAGAGTCAATTATGGTCTTGTTTTGTTAATAAATGTCTAATTAATAGTTTATATAACATTTCAGGCTTAAAGAAAGACCTGCAAAGGGCAGATTTAGCTCTTGCATAATCTATGTTTAATTGTATTTTATTCCTGATAATTTATGGCAGCATATGCAAGTCCATGAGAATCACACCACAAATTTTGTATTTGGTGCAGTATTTGATGACGAAATTGTCAATCGTTGATTATTGGGTAGTTATGGAAACATTCTAGAACATAACATACTTATGGTCAATATTATTGTACGAGTGAGTGTCACATGTGTTTTTGATTTTAAATTAAGAATTTGCCAGAAAAATAAAAAGTTTTGTGGAAGGTAAAGGAAAACTTTTAATTTTTAGGCAAATTCTTAATTTAAAATAGGAACCACTTACCCAATCCGTTCGATTGATAAGTGATTAAAATGTTTAAAAAATAAATTCAAATTTATGTGCATATTATGAATTTATTCCAACTTCTTAAACCGGGGGGGGGGGGGGGAGGGTTGGATGGCTGAATGGTTAGCGTGCGCGCGCTGTATCATAAAGTCTGTCATTTAGTCGACTGGCGTGGTTTCGAATCCCCGGTTGTACGTGGCAAGGAGTAGGGTCGCCTGTCCAACCTCGTGGGTTTTCTCCGGGTCCTCCGGTTTCCTCCCACTGCTAAAGACCCCTACGCGCAAGCGAATTATTGAAATAAAATTAAACCATATGTTAGTCCCGAAATGACCTAGTTTGTGTCGAGTGGACGTTAAACCCCATTTCTCTCTCTCTCACTTCTTAAACCTGAACAAGAGATGTATTGATTGAGGATTGAGATATTATTTCTGTCTGTATATATATATATATATATGTATATTGATATCTGTTTGTTATTGTAACCAGGAGACATACATTGATTTTCTAAAGATTATAAAACTTGGTATTATCCTTTCACTATTTAACTATCCAGCTGTATATATACTCTGGTAGAGTGGTAGATATACAATCAGTACACTATATTAATTTTGGAATTTTGAATATTATTTACCATATCTTGATGTCCAATTGGACGGCTCTAGGAACAATTCGTCGCCGAACAATTTGTCGCCGAACAATTCGTCCCTGAGGACAATTTGTCCCCGGGCTATTCGTCCCCGGATAATTAGTCTCCATGGGCAATTTTTCCCCAGACTATTCGTCACCTAGGCTAGGACAGTTTGTCCCTGAACAACAATACTGGTAGTTCCATTATCAAAAACTGAATTAATTTTTACTTTGTATCCTAAATCTCAGTTTTGATGCTAGTTTTACTTCATTTTACATTTGATTTAAACAATATTTTTATTCAAATAAGTTGGATATTGTATACATACACTGTCAAAAGGTATAAGGATTCAAAAACAAGCCAAAGGCTTATATTAATTCGTCTCCTTATTTAATAAATATACTACAAATACAATTGTAATATGTACACTTCACATATAAAAAACATTTAATTATATGGTATTTTCTATTTACTATTAATCGTGCATGCAAGCAATTTAATGATTTGTGTCACTTACAGTACCTTACCATTTCATAATACGCTTGCTCGTATGATGTTTTGAGGACGTCAGATGTATATTAACCGAGAAAGTAATTAATTCGGCTAATATTTTACGATGGTTATTGGAATCTCTTGGATAAATGTATAAATTTATGGACTGTATTAAAAATTTTACATTTAGTATTTAACTTAATGGTTCCTGAAGTTTTTTCTGGCTAAGTGATATGTATGTAGTAATCAGCTATGATCAGTGACACCTTTTGTGAGTTAGAGAATCCATTTATCCCTTCACTATGGGTGTTGTCCATTGTCAATACTGCACTTGACTAAAATCAATATGCATTATTGTGTATGATAAAATGTAGACCAGACATCAGTTAGAATTAGCTGTTGATCATAATTAGGGGACGAATAGCGGATGAATAGACCTAGGGGACGAATTGTCCCTGGACAAATTGTCCTAAGGGACAAATTATCTGGGGACGAATTGTCCGGGAACGAGTTGTCAGGGGACAAGTTGTTCGGGGATGAATTGTCCCGTACCCCGATTGGACATATTCCTGGTCAGACAATTTCAGACGTTTGGAAAATAGCGTCGGACATGTCCAGAATATACGGGCGAAATCCCATCACATATACATGTATATACGTATATTGTACTGGTAGATTCTATCAGGGTGTGCATATAGAACAGTGATTCCCTAGGGATCTATGGACAAATTTGGGAGGTCTGTAAACTCAAAGGGGTCCACTGGTTGAAAATTGGGTTTAAGAAATAAAGATAGTCAAGGAAAAATCTGTATGAAAATGTTTGAATTCGGTAATGAATTTCCGTAGCTGATATAAAAGTCACAATAAAATACGAACGATGATCATCTTGGTTGTGTTGGACCAGGATGGAGATTAAAATATCCCATGTTAGGGTTTATCACAGATTTAATTCGTAATGCTGTTAATGGGACTAACATATGTTTCAATTTTATTTCAATAATTCGCTTGTGCACAGAGGTCTGTAGCAATTGGAGGAAACCGGAAGACGCAGAGAAAACCCACGAGGTTGGACAAGCGACCATATTGCTTGTCATGTACAACCGACGAATCGAAACCACGCCAGTTGATTTATTGCCAGACCGTATACATGCGTCCATTCAACCTCCATGTGTAAATGAACCATTCAGAGTTGGAACATGATGTACATTGGCAGAAACATGGTTGTCCTGGCAAATATACGTCTGTCTTCATTAGCCTGATTGGTGCACAGGTTGCGCAAAGTAGGATGCCAATCAGTTTGATATAAGGGAAGGCTGGTAGTCCGAGTGTGATGCTAATACTGTTGTACATAACAATGTTAATCATTTTGATATAAAAATAAACACACTTATATGGATATCCTGCTTCTGAATTTTATTAACATGCTACGTTTCAATACACATACAGGTATCGTTATCAAGCCAATTATTTGCTCGATAACGATACCTTTATTGAAGTGTAGCATATTAATGAAATTCAGAAGTAGTATATCCATAAAAGTGTGTTTATTTTTAGTGAAATCTATTTCTATATGTCTTATAAGGGAATGTTGATAGGCTGAGAGCGATTCTTATACTGTTGTACATAACAATGTTTAGGATCAGCGACTTCGTTTCGTGATATATTAGGGTGTTAAAAAAATAACAAAATAAAGATATATCATAAGTTTGTAGCATGTTGACCTGGTTGTTGTTTATTACAGGAAGAAGTACCGATAGCTTTAAAGAAAGGTCATGATAATAAGGTGAGATACTGTTTTATTAGAGTTTTCTAATTTGTTATTTCACTTATTTCAAACATTTATGTATTGTAACCAATTTCAGTAATTGATATCAGGACAGTCACATTTAAAGAAAGTGTCTGTCATCATTTAACCCTTTGATTGAAGCAGGATTTAATCAAATAAGATTGATGTTAAATACACACATTGTCAAAAAGTAAGGATTCAAAAACAAGCCAAAGGTGAATTCGTCTCATTAATATAGCTTTGCCATGTACATTAATGTCATTAAATTGTCTGATTTTTATAATTTATAGTATTCTAAAGAAGCTCAAAATAAAGATAGTTGTGAAGAAGAAAGAGAACTAGGTGCTTTAAATACATCTCTTAGGTAAAGTGTTTAACATGTATTTGAATTTATCATACAGGACTTGAAATCACTACTTTACACCTATAATATACATAGAATCTCTAATATACTTTACACCTCTAATACACATAGAGTCTCTAATATACTTTACACTTCTAATATACTTTACACTTCTAATATACTTTACACTTCTAATATACTTTACACTTCTAATACACATAGACTCTCTAATATACTTTACACCTCTAATACACATAGACTCTCTAATATACTTTACACCTCTAATATACACAGACTCTCTAATATACTTTACACTTCTAATATACTTTACACTTCTAATACACATAGACACTCTAATATACTTTACACCTCTAATATACATAAACTCTAATAGACTTTACACCTCTAATACACATAAACTCTCTAATATACTTTACATTTCTAATACACATAGACTCTCTAATATACTTTACACTACTTCTAATACACATGGACTCTAATATACTTTACACCTCTAATATACATACTCTAATATACTTTAAACCTCTAATACACATGAACTCTAATATACTTTACATCTCTAATACACATAGATGCTCTAATATACATTATGCCTCTAATACACAGACTCTCTAATATACTTTACGCCTCTAATATACTTTACACCTCTATACCATAACACACAATATACATAGACCCTGTAATACACTCATAGACTTTATACAGTGTATCTCTACACTTATCATCTTTTGATTAATTAACTAATTATGTCTGTTGTTTTTAGTGATGAGAGTAAACAAGCGTTTAAAGACTGGAATAAATATGATGAATCTCAGGAATTATTCTGTGATGTTGATGGTAAGATTAGTCTTCAGTATAATTCTATAATAGTATGTATATCACCACATTGACAGATTGAATCTGATTCTAATTAATCACTTAAAATCATTGAGTTTTCTCTGGGTCCTCTGATTTCTTCCCACAGCTATGTTAGTCCCGAAATGTCCTAGTTTCTGTCGATTGGACGTTAAACTCTCTCTCTCTCTCTCCCTCTCCCTCTCTCTCTCTCTCTTTCTCTCTCTCTCTCTCTTATTATTATCAAAGTAGTGAATATGGAAATAGGTCAGGCCCATTTTCCATGCGCATGCTTTCTCAAGCAAAGTAGTCGGTCTAATGCAAATGTAATGAGACTGTTTCCATGTAACCAGGGAAAATGTGCATGGAAAATGTGTACATGGAAAACAGGCCTTTATTCTCTGATTAAGTGACATTAGTATCAAGGGTAGTGAATATGAAAACAATCCTTAAGTTTTATTTTAGATACATAGCTTATCACATTGTTTTATATTTCTAGATGAATCATCAGCTGGTATGGAATATGTTGATCTTTTATTAAACCCTGAAAGATATACTGGTTATAAAGGAGACTCACCTCACAGAATCTGGAGAAGTATTTATGAAGAAAACTGTTTCACGTGAGATATTATTATCATAAGTAGGGAAGTCGTATTTGGATATGAAATAAAATGGGGTTGGTTTAACATCCTATTTTCTGCACCAAACATTGAGTATGCTATGAGGAAAGGGGGGTTGGATGGATGAATGGTTAGTGTGTGCGTGTTGTATCATAAGGTCTGTCATTGAATCAACTGGCGTGGTTTCAATTCCCCGGTTGTACATGACAAGGAGTAGGGGCGCCTGTCCAACCTTGTGGGTTTTCTCCGGGTCCTCCGGTTTCCTCCCACTGCTAAAGACCCCTACTCGCAAGTGAATTATTGAAATAAAATTAAACCATATGTTATAGTCCCGAAGTGACCTAGTTTGTAGTTTGTGTCGAGTGGGTGTTAAACCCCATCTCTCTCTCTCTCTCTCTCTCTCTCTTTCTCTCTCTGAGGGAAATTTTGGCCCGAACAGCAGTGTTTCCCCCTAATCTTCAGCTACCAAGTGTTCTGGGGGATTACTTTCAAATTTATGAAAAAAATAAAATAAAATGAAATGGGGTGTAACGTCCTACTGTTCTGCACCAACTGGGCTAATGAAGACGGGCATATATGCCTAACAGTGTGCTATGAGGAAAATTTTGCCCGGGCAGCAGCACTTTGGCCTACTCTTATATCGAATTCCAACTGCCAAGATTTCTTTTATGTGCAAGCCAATGTGTACACTGGACCTTGGTTTTTCATCCCATCCATACAACTAGCTATCTGTCCTTGTCAGGCCATCCGTCTGGCACCACTGGCAAGGGGGAACGATGCCGGAAAATCGTGAGGTATAATGTCGTGGTCTAATATTTCATAATCAAAACTGTCCTGAATTTAAAGGAATTCGGTTTTTGGAATTCATTTGTGTAACCAAAAGAATAATTGTTTATTGTTTTTTTTACAGGCCGCAACCTGATATAGGATATGGTCCATCTAAAAAAAATAGTCCATGTAAGTAGAATAGTTTATTTATTTGTTTTTTATCAAGATTAAATTCTAGAATCCAAAACAAAACAAGCAATGTAAATATGTACCATTGAATCAAGGAAATGAATCCATTGGCTCACACTGTAAGTGAGAATGTGCTGTATAGTCCCTTGGCTGGAGTGATAAAGGCTTTACACAAAACGAAAACAAACTCACAAGGGAAGTAACTCACATTGTATTCATGATCAGCTGCTTCATGAAATTAATGTATCTGGGTGGACTTACGTATATTTATAGGTATAACAATTAATGCTATTCACTGTATGGTCAGTTTATGTTCAACGATGCTGCTAATTTTCAGGAAACAGGCCTAGTACGTTATTTTGGGGTGGCCGGACGTGTTAATTTGTGCGCGATAGCTCACACGGTCTGTCATTGACTCAAATGGCATGGTTTCGATTCCCGGCTTATACGTGACAAGGAGTAGTGTCCCCTGTCCAACCTCGTTTTTTTTTTGTCGGGTCTTCCAGTTTCCTCCCACTTTTAAAGACCCCTACGCGCAAGCGAATTATTGAAATAAACCACTTATTAGTCCTGAAATGACCTAGTTTGTGTCGAGAGGATGTTAAACCCCATTTCCCTCCCTCTTTCTGGTAAGTTATTTCGTTTTCTCAGAGCAAAAATAAGAATCAGAATAAATATAGAATTAAAATATAGAATTGTGTTAAAATGACAATTTGTTCCTGGGTATATTTTATCACTGCATATGTCTTTTTAACATACTTTGACGGTTACAAGTTTTATTGGTTTAGATTTTGTTAAATGCACATTATTCTACTTTATCTGCATGCTTGCACGAGTTACCATGGTTACCCTAAAATGAAGTTTAGTTTAGGAGAGGAATCTTGCATGTTTGTAATTTAGTCCAGCATGGTTAAGAGTATTAATACACAGTCAATTAGTGTTTCTAGCATGGAAATAGAATCGTGTGTGAGTAGGAAAATATTTAAGTCGTTGATTTTCGGAAGTAGGATAGAGTAACTCATTAAATCTATGCATGACCTATTTGGCAAAAACATCTGATACATTTCTACCAGTAATATTACGGGTATCTATGTTATTTATTCGGAAGGGGGGAGGTGGTTGTCGCATGGGTGTTAGGTTATTCATCTTGCTGACTACATGAAATAACATGATATTCTTTTAGATCCTTTCCACTCAGCCTGAGAAAGTTCCTCATTTAATCTAATCAGCAACCAAACTGTTGTGATGTGTGTGGTGGGAGGGTTGGGTGGCTGAATGGTTTAATGCGTGCCCGTCAGATCAGAAGGTCTGTCATTGAGTTAAGTTGTGTGGTTTTGATTCCCTGTTTGCACGTGACTAGGCGTAGGATGGCCTGCCCAAGAAAGTTCCTCAGTTAAGAAGCTAATCAGCAACCAAACTGTGTGGTGGGAGGGTTTGGTGGCTGTGTAGTTTAATATGTGCGCGTTCGATCATAAGGTCTGTCATTAAGTCAACTGGTGTGGTCTCAATTCCCTGCTTGCAAATGAGAAAGAGTAGGGTGGCCTGTCCAACCTCATGGGTTTTCTCTGGGACCTACGGTTTTCTCCCACAGCTGAAGACCCATACACACAAGCGAATTATTGAAATAAAATTGAACAATATGTTGGTCCCAAAATGTTGGTCCCAAAATGACCTAGTTTTTGTTGAGTGGGCGTTAATCCCCATTTCGCACTCTCTCTCACATGTGCAATGTCCAGTCATCAATAGGGCTGGGTGTCGAAAAATCACATTATCCCTGTACATGTATTTGAAAATTCACAGAGTTAATTGGGTACTGGTAGAATTGAAAGCGGACACAAATTTTTAAAATGATATCGCATAGCTTTTACATGTTTATTGTTAGAGGTCGGGGGTCATGGTGGCTAAGAGGGTAAGACGCTGGCTCGCTAGCCTGGAGGTCGGGTGTTCGATCCCTGCATTGGCTGAGAAAGTTCATTCAGATTTTTTTCAGCGTGGTCCCCCCTTGTCAGTGATGCAGGACGGAGGGCCTGACAAGGACAGCTGTCTGTCTAGTCATTCGGATGGGACAAAAAATCGAGGTCTCGTGTACACATTGGCTTGCACGTAAAAGATCCCTTGACTTGGAATTCAATATAAGAATAGGCCGTAGTGCCACTGTCCGGTCAAAATTTCCCTCTTAGCACACTGTATTGCGTATGCCCATCTTCATTAGCCCAGTTCGGAGCAGAACAGTAGGACGTTAAACCCCATTTCATTTCATATCAATTTTTAGTAGAGGTGTAAATTAAATGGATTATTTTATTCCAGCCGTTAATAATAATATAGAAGGTAAAATGTTTGTAATGTCTGTTTATATGTTTATTATGATGTCACCAAACAGGCCTAGAAATTACACAACCTTTCACCAAAACATGCACTAGGATTATATTATAAAAGCAATCCCTTCGAAAGAACTCAATTTAAAATCTCTGGTCAAATTATATTATAAACAATCCTTAGGAGGAACTCAATTTAAAGACTCTGGTCAAATTATATTATAAACAATCCTTTAAAAGGAACTCAGTTTAAAGTCTCTGGTCATCATTTAAAGGATTGTTAAAGATGCATTATGTAAGAGATAAATCTCCCTATTGCAGGTCTTTCTTTTGGCTTTTTGATTCCCCGTTTGTACGCAACAAGGAGTACAACCATCATGGGTTTTCTCTGGGTCCTCTGGGTTTCTCCCACTGCTATGCTAAAGACCACTATGCGCAAGCGAATTATTGAAATAAATTTGAACCATATGTTAGTCCCAAAATGATCTGGTTTGCATCGAGTGGACGTTAAACCTAATCAATCTGCTTATTGCAGGTCTTTGTTTTGGCTTTGGTCTTTCTTGTTATTTAGACATTTGTTCACATGATAATCCTGTAATCAACTCTCTAGATTATCGGATGGGTGAGATTTAAATGGATTTGAACACCTGCGAGATTTAAAAATTTAACAATAAAATGGACAATAAAGTTGTCAAGTAGCGTTGCTAGGATAATAAATGTTCTATGCTACATCTTCAAACAGTCATAACTTCGCCCAGAATAAAGTAATTTGAATGAAAATTTCAATATATACGTTTTTCTTTATCTATTTATCGAAATGTTACATAATGCATCTTTAATCTAATCCCTTAAGTATTTACCGGTACAAAGATATTTGACATCCACTCAAGGCGATATATAGGATATTGTTGTCAACCCAAGCGAACTCCACCTATGATTTTCACTGAAATATTTTGATGGGCCTCATTTTAATCTGATAGAATCCAAACCAGGAGATTATCTACCTTTGATATTTTGTTTTCTTAAAGGGGCATTAGGTAAGATTAAATAAAGAGCTGACACTTAAAATAGATAATAGATAATATTTAAAAAATTGATATAATTGAAATAATGAAAACAGAATATGCTGAAAATTTCAGTCAAATTACTTCACTCTGAACTGAAATATAAGCCATTCAATTTTAGGCTAGGCTTGATTCATTACTAACGTTGGTATTATAATAAACAAAGTCTCAATTATCATTTGTACGTTAAATTATCCATCACAATATGTAAACAAATCCATTAAAATCGCATTCTAGCGATGACTTCCTAGAGTTGATTATGGTCTGGATAAATTAATTAATGTCTGATTAATAATTTAGATAACATTTCAGATCCAAAGACAGACTTGCAATGGGCAGATTTAGCTCTTGCATAATGTATGTTTAATTAAATGTTAAAAAACAATTTGCTAACATTTTAGCATGGATTATGTCATCCCAAAATAAATATTGTCTAAAAAATTCAAAATGAAGATCAGTGACTTTAAAGATTAAATATTTATAGAAATAACTGTTAATTACGCAAAATTGGCATAATCTAATGTCTTGCCCCAAAACAGTGATGTTAGAAAATATATTTTTCAACGAGAATCATCAATGATTTAGATCTTTGATAGAATGAGATTTGGAGATGCTCGTGAATTTTTAGGCCTGGCAAACAATTTAAACAGCACACGGTTCTTTTAATGTTTACATCCGTAAGATGAATTTCTTCTTGTTCAACAGTATTTCTTCATTTATTACGTTCTAGATAAAATGTTGCTTTTTTAAAATGTGTATTTTTGAAACTGTTAGTTGTTAGAATTAAATAGAAATACCTACAATGTTATATTTGATTGGATATATAGTCTTGATTGCTCCAGTAGAAATTGTCTTTGCTTTGACTACAATGAATATTGGTCTTGAGTCTTGACAATCTGGCATGAATTCTCTATATTGGTGTTAATAGTCATACCTTTCCAACAGCAGGAGGGGCCCGGTTTCCTCCCACTGCTAAAGACCCCTACGCGCAAGCGAATTATTGAAATAAAATTTTAAAAAAACATATGTTAGTCCTGAAATGACCTAGTTTATGTTGCGTGGACGTTAAACCCCATGTCTCTCTCTCTCCAGGGGGGGGGGGGCATCTGGGATAAACTAAGGACTGACTGATGCAAAGATGTAAGAATACAACAACATATGGGTCACTTCCTCTCGTGAAGAGGCCATATAAAAAGAAGTTGTAGATTTATTATTTAGAACACATGCCAGGGTTGCTCACTAGTTGTACTCAAAGCAGTGACGATTTTGGCTAGAACAATCAAGACTACAAGAGAAACAGTTAGGGCAAGAATAGAACTCGGCATAGTGTTTATTATTAGACGGATTAGATATATCCAATGACTGTATTTAAAACCTGTGGATGAAAAGACTATAACCAATCTGATTAAAATACAGATCTAAATTTCAATTCATATTAATACTGTCGATGGTCTCCGATACATGGAGATCTTATCAGTTGTAGTGGGAGGTTGCGTCAGAGCCCATACAAGCAAATTTTGACCCCATGACATTAGTCATTCAATTAACCAATCAATGTCGGTGTTTTAAGTGGGTAATCGTAAATACAAATTTTGTTTTGAGATGTTTTCTATCGCTGTGAATGTCTACCCATGGTTCTGCACACTGTACTTTAAGAACTCGACTCAACAGACCATTTGATTGGCTAATCCCTCTCATCAACCAGAATGCAGGTTATTTAACAACTCTTCCAGATCCGAGTGTAGTTAAGACAAGTAAAACAAAAGGAAATAGGATCTGTGTTTTAATCAAATTGAAACTAAACCTCATCTCATCAACCATCTTCATATCGTCAAGTATAAAAAGAATATTTTTTCACTCATGGCTAGCATAGTTGTTGGTCTAAAAACTACATAATGACACACAGGTCTGGATTAATATTTTTGTAGGGCTACAGGTATTGATTGAGAGGATCTCCTGCAGCCCCTAAATCTCATGCCTTAATCCGGCCTAGCTGACACCTAATAATTATTCCTGGTCTTGTCAGACAAAAGCCTTGAGTTCACACAAACAACTATATTAAGTCATGTTTCAATGTTTCATAAATCTTTTTATACTTGAAATTGTGAAGATGTTTTGACCCAGATCCATCTCTTTCATCTGTGAAGCAGTTGCCAACTCCAATAATAGCCATAACTGTTTCATCTCTTTTGGTAATTTGTAACCTTGACGACCTTCGGATGTAGATTATGGTCGGAACTAATATCCAAACAGCAAATGGTCCAGACCATCGTCTTTTCAATATGGTGACACCCATAGTACGACCGTCTCGTATCCACTCAATTTTGAAACTTGTTTTTCGACAATGGTGATGAAGAAATGATTTTAAGGAATTTTATTAAATCACTGGGTCCATCTGGCAAATTTCCTATTTTTTATTCAAATTTACTCATGTGACTATCTTATCCGCCATCTTGAAATTAACATGCTCTTTTGTATGATTTGGATAGTCAAGACCATAGTCTGAACCAAATTCCATTGGATGTAAATGGTACGAAAATCCGTGCAACCGAAGGTCCCTCTACATTTTGGATTTTTCAGGGAGACAACTCTTATCCTTTGCACAAGCTTCAAGGAAAACTAAACTGCATCTTTTGTTCTTTCTTTGTAAAGTTCTGATCTTTCTTTTAGCTCTGTCTTACTCTATCCTTACTCTATGAGATATATTGGTATATAGGTGTTATTGTCAAGTTTTGTACATTCATACCTTACTTATAGAATTAAACACATGTTCTGCACAGGTGAGGCAGATCACCAGCCAAGGATAAAATTCAAAATAAGACTTTTACATGCATCTAGAGTGAATAAAACCATTGTTTCAGTCGGTTTTGCTTGTATAATTAAGTTATTTGTTCAAGAGAAAGTATCTGATAGAATGAGATTTTATAACACAGTTTACAGTGAAGCCAGAAAGAGAAAACTTTAAAATGAAGGAGAAATATGACAGTGAAGTGGAAGCCCTTGGAAGAACGCTTGGATATAGATTTAGTTTTCTTGCTCTTCATTAAATGAATAAACTTAGTGTTTTATATTTTTTATATTTTCTGTGTATGTATATTTCATGAATATTTTAAAGAGATGTATTCATATCGATTCTATTATGTAAGGCGTAAGGTCGTATATTTAATTGTATATTATTATATTTCAGCTTTATGTCTAGAGAAAAGAACATTTCATCGTTTAATATCAGGATTACATACCAGTATCAACATACATTTATGTTATGATTATCTCTTTCAAGGTAAATATATCCGTTATATAGCAGTGGATGTTTACAACTAGCCCCTGGATCCATGCACTTGATCTGATATGTCCGTTATATAGCTGTGGATGCTTACGACTAGCCCCTGGATCCCTTCACTTGATCTGATATGTCCGTTATATAGCAGTGGATGCTTATAACTAGCCCCTGGATCCATTCACTTGGTCTGATATGTGCGTTATATAGCTGTGGATGCTTACAACTAGCCCCTGGATCCATGCACTTGATCTGATATGTCCGTTATATAGCAGTAGATGCTTATAACTAGCCCCTGGATCCATTCACTTGATCTGATATGTCCGTTATATAGCAGTGGATGCTTATAACTAGCCCCTGGATCCATGCACTTGATCTGATATGTCCGTTATATAGCAGTGGATGCTTATAACTAGCCCCTGGATCCATTCACTTGATCTGATATGTCCGTTGGTTTATGGTCTCTGTATATTGTGTCCTATCCGTAGGTTTGTGAGGGGGTTGGATGGCTGAATGGTTAGCGTGTGCGGTGCATTGTATCATAAGGTCTGTCATTGAGTCAACTGGCGTAAGTAGCGTTGTATGTCCTAACTCGTGGGTTTTCTCTGGGTCCTCCGGTTTCCTCACACTGCTAAAGAGCCCTACTCGCAAGCGAATTATTGAAATAAAAAATTGAACCATATGTTGGTCCCGAAATGACCTAGAGTGTGTCGAATGTATGTTGAGTTGTTTAAAGTATGCGATTTAGATCATAAAGTCTTATCGTTGAGTAAAGTAGCGATTGGGTGGTCTAGTGGTTAAACATGTGGCGTGGTTTCGATTCCCCGCTTCAGCATGACAAGGAGTAGGGTTGCCTGTCCATCCTTATGGGTTACTTCCGGTTTCCTCCAACTGTTAAAGACCCCTCGCCTGTGTTCAAGCAAATTGTTGAAATGAAATTTAAATGGCCTAGTTTGTGTTGAGTGGTTATTAAACCCCCTCTCTCTCTATCTCTCTCTCTCTCTCTCTCTCACTCCAACAAGAACTGTGCAGTGTTTCTTTTGTCAATAAAACCTAACCTATTTTCACTTGATACTAATGTGGCTTGATCAGAAACAACTTATTGATACTCTACTTATAAATGTCAATTTTGGGCGTACTACTTATCACTGACAAAAACGACAAGAGTATTTTTTGTCAATAGCGCCCAAAGTATTACGAATCATACCGACACGGAAAGATATACATATTCTAAATAAAAAAACAAACTCTTGTGACTATTTCAGGAAATAATATTGGCTACGGTGATGTTGGAAAATGGGAACCGAATATAGAGGAGTTTAAAAAACGTTTTGATCCTAAAACCACATCTGGAGCAGGACCACAGCGTTTAAAAAATTTATTTTTTACCTACTTAGTAGAATTAAGAGCATTAGCCAAAGCAGCACCATACTTAGAACAAGTAAGACACATATTATTTTAAAAAAATATTAAAAATTTTATCTGTTTTTAGAGCCTACTACTATTTTGATTGCAGTAGCCTGGATTCCCATTTTAGTGTTGGGAGGATGGAGTGTCTGGCACGGAAAAGAAAGCGGAGGTCAAATATTCTCGGATATATCTGATTATTCACAACTTAAATGTAGTCTGACTGATTATTTGACATTTTATTAAGATAACAAAATCAAAAGATCAGTGGAAGATAATCTCCATATTAGAGATTCAACTTTCACAATATTGTAGTTTGCCAGAATTTAAAATGTCAGAGACAAGCCTGGAAATAAGATATCTGTCACAAACATTGACGCAAGCATAATCCCTCAGGTGTCTGTCACAAACATTGACACAAGCACAATCTCTTGGGTGTCTGTCACAAACATTGACACAAGCACAATCTCTCAGGTATCTGTCACAAACATTGACACAGACACAATCTCTCAGGTGTCTGTCAGTGATTTTAATGATATTATTAATACATGTCTGATACAAAGTTCAAATTGTCATCAGGTACTAGTTGATTATTGCCAGACATTTTGTCAGGTAGAACTAATATCATTGATTCCAGGCAGGAATTAAGTAATTGTTTAAATATTACAGGAAGATTTTTTTACGGGTGATACAGAAGAAGATCTAAGTTTAAAAGAGGGTATTAAAGATGTATTATCTATCATTAAGTAAGTAATATTGTAAATTTACGCCACACATTTATCAGAATTATTCTCTTATTTTCTTCTTTTATAATAGAGTTGCAGTTCTTATATTTTTCTTGAATAATTGACATTAAATAAACCTAAATGAAACAGCATTTGGATCCATGCTATTTTAATTCCCATATCTCATAAAATTTTGCACAGGTAGAGTCATGTGACAAGCAGATATGGCAAAAGAGTTACTCCCCTTCCAATTTTCATGGACTGTGAAATATTCAATAGAAATTGGTAGGGGATGCTCGAATATCAGCCCAAATTGACAAAATTGAAATCGAATGACAATGAATTAAGTCCTTTTACAGTTCTGAGGTGGTGTGAGTAGAATCGTGACGAAATGAAACACAACAAATATGGTTAGTTGAGATATTTTCTGATGCAGTTGATGCATGCGTTGTAGCACGAAATCCCCCTTTCACTTGATTGTCAATATTTTGGGGATTGAGAGTATCCAATTCCAGAATTTCAATCGATTATCCCCGTAATGTCTTACAAAGATTTTATACCAATGTTTCCAAGCACAGAAGTAGTATTATTATAAAACTTAAAACAAAGTTTTCTTTCTTTCAGATCTTTTCCAGATCAATTTGATGAAAGTAAATTATTTGCTGGAAACCCTGTTGAGGCCAAATTACTCAAGGTAACACTAAATTATGGTTCATTTTCTATTTCTATTAATAACTACCATTTCATCCAATAATTTCCTGCATAGACTCAATCTGATTAAAACACAGATCCTATTTCGTTTCGTTTTTTATAGTTCAAAAAGTTAGTTTTACTTGTCTTTACTACACTAGGATCTGGAAGACTTGTTATATAACCCACATTCTGGATGACATGAGGGATTAGCCAATGAAACGGTCTGTTACAGTGAGTTCTTGCCGTACGGTGCACAAAACTGTGGGCATCCCTCTTAGAAACATCAACGCTGATGTCATGGGCTCAAAAGCCTCTGGTATGACCGCTGACGTGACCTAGTATGGAGTCAATCAAAAGTATGAAAAAAATGAAATGAAATATAAATCTGTATTTCAATCAGATTGGCATAGGCTGAGAAGAATCTTTGTGATTTTTCAGCCCACTTTCCTGTAAGATACTTTTTGGAATAAAAAATATAATGTGTAGGCCTATCAATGTTCTCGGGAGTGTGTCTTAAAAAACATTTCTCCAACAGACCTGTAAATAATGATTGTAGCTTAGATATTGAAGTTTGTGTTGGATAGGTGTTATTGTAAATCATTAAAAACAGATCTGTTCCAGTCTATATGAGAGACACCAGATAGGTAGGGCCTTACAATGTCTGTAACCGGTGCCTTATTTCAAGGCTTCTACTTTTATCTATCTCTTGTCATTCTCTCCAAATCTTATGTATTTCTTTATTAATGTGTAGTTTATGTGTAGTTTTGAAATACAAAACGCAAGAAAAAAGGCCTAAACGTTGATTATTCTGATTATATTTCAGGAGGAATTCCGTAATCATTTCCGTAATGTATCGAGAATTATGGATTGTGTTGGCTGTGATAAATGTAAACTCTGGGGTAAACTTCAGGTAAAACATTATCATTTATTTCTTCTTTTTATTTGTCCTGTCTAACCTCGTGGGTTTTCTCTGGGTCCTTCAGTTTCCTCCCACTGCTAAAGACCCCTACGTGCAAGCGAATTATTGAAATAAAATCAAACCATATGTTAGTCCCGAAATGACCTAGTTTGTGTGAGTGGACGTTAAACCTCATTTCTCTCTCTCTCTCTCTCTCTCACACATTTCTCTCTCTCTCTCTCTCCCTGACAGGTTTCTCCTTGTCGGTGGTGCAGGACCGAGAACCTGGCCCCGAGTTCACAAAGCATTCTCAGATTTGAGTTAAGAATTTACTCAAAATTGTCTGCTTTATTTTACCGGTAACTAAAATATAGCCCTTTATAAAACTTTTGTTGTTTTAATGTATCAAATACATCAATAAGAAACTATGTGCAAAGTTTTGTGTTTCTGGATCAAAGATATTTCTCATAAACATTGATTGAAATTGATTAAATTCTTAACTTAAGTTTGAGGATGCTTTGAGAACTCGGGATATGGCAAGGAAGAGTAAGAAATTAAACCCCATTTCATTGTTTTTTCAATGGATCTTTTAAAAAAAAAACATAAATTTTATTCATCCATTATTTTACAGACGCAAGGTATGGGTACAGCTTTAAAAATTTTATTTTCTGGTGACGATGTTGGACCAGATTCTACAGTCAATGCTCATCATAAAAAACAATTCCAGCTGACCAGATCTGAAATATTTACACTATTTAATGCCTTCGGACGGTAAGTTTTTTTGTAGATTAGATTTTATGGCCAGAGGTCTTATTCACAAAATTTTTTAAGGATTCAGAATTTTCATTGGCTGAGAGTTAAAATTCTAATTAATTTTTAGCCAATGAGAATGCTGTTGTCTTAAAGTATTTTACCAGCCCTGTCATTTATGCATTACTGTACGTGACAAGGAGTAGAGTTGCCTGTCCAACCTCATGGGTTTTCTCTGGGTCCTCTGCTTTCCTCCCACTGCTAAAGACCCCTACGCACAAGCGAATTATTGAAATAAAATTTAACCATATGTTAGTTCCGAAATGACATAGTCTGTGTCGGGTGGATGTTAAACCCCATTTCTCTCTCTCTCTCTCTCTCTCATGTAATGTTTATGTAGTATGCGATCAAACTTTTCACTTAAGTCAACCATGGATAATTAAAGTTTCTGTTTTTATTACAATAAATGAATTAATGAATTTTGTGTATTTCTACTTTCAGTTTGTCTAAATCTGTACATTCCTTGGAGAAGTTTAAATCTTTATTAAATGATCCAATGTAATCAGTGAGTGTGTGATATATATATATATATATTATACCATGGCAATCATTTCATGTAGTCTCGATAACCCAGTCTTTCCTGCTGATGGCATTCATGGAGCACTAGAAATACTTGTCAACTTGGCAGAATTTCAGAGCCAAAGTCTTTTTCAATCTAGTTTAAAAATTACTCTTAATGCATAAAATGCAATATCTGTGAAGTAATTTGGGTAAATGGATCGAAGTAATCTTTCAATTGCAAATTATTTATTGTATTTTATACAAGTTGGAAATTTTATCTAAGTGTATGGCAACTGCAGATATTTTGTTTGGTGAATGAGAGGCACTAAGGTGTGACTTGATATTCAAAGATATCTCAAAAGTCAATTCTTATTTTTAGACCATTGTGCTGGTAATTATAGACTGGTTAATCAAGAATATTATTTAATACATATTGTTAGCGTATACAAACTTGTTACTAGCGTAATTGTTAATTTAAAGTGACAGTCTCCTGATTACTACAACTACTTAATAAAACAATGAATGGCTCTTTAAAAATGTTTATTAATAAAACAATGAATGGCTCTTTAAAAAATTTTATTGATAAAAGCTATTTAAAAATGATTATTAATAAAGTAATTGTGGTGCTGTAATTGTTACTGTTGGTAAATACCGTTCTCGGGTGTTGTATTAAAGGTACTTTATTCAAGAAAGAGCTAAATCTGCCTATTGTAGGTTTTTATTTTGGCTTCAAATGTTGTTCACCTGACAAGCCTATTGTCAACTCTCTAGAACATTGGATGGTGCAGATGTAAACATATAGAAATACGATAGCTATTTAATGATTTAATTTAAAAATGGAGCAATAATGTTGCTACGATAATAAACAATCTATGTTAAAACTTTGCTCAGAATAAAGTAATTTGAATGAAATTTTGAATTATCCATTTTGGAACTATTATGGCAACAAACGACCAGCCCTTTATCTAAATCTTACATAATGCATTTTGAACGTTTCTGTATTGAACTAGTTCAAAAGAAATTATGAAAGTGTGTTTGATTGGTCAATATCCAAAATTAGATTTCTTTATTTTATATATTCAGCATGTTGATATTTTTCATCTAAAAGTTCAGCTTCATGCATTATATTCAGAAAGTGGAGAAATATAATTATTAGAAGTAAAATTAAAATAAAAAATGAATTCCGATTTGATAAAATTAAAATAAAAAATGAATTCCGATTTGATCAGATTCACTTCAGCCGAACACAATTTAAGTGTCAATATAGTATATAATAAATATGGTATTTGTAACAAGTCATTAAACTGTTGAAAGATGGCAATTATTTATGGTCAGTTTTTTTTATGGAGGGACTGTCACTTTAAAATCATGTTTTATCATTATTTATGTTAAGAATAGACTTTATCATAAATGGTATTGTTATTGTGTTGCTGTTCTTAATTCAATTCTGATCAATGTATTGTATAATTATCATTTAATTATTGAACATTATCATTAACTTGATATAACCATGGTTTATAGCTATCAGTGCTAAGTATTCTAAGGCCACTCTCCAACCTCGTGGGTTTTCTCCGGGTCCTCCAGTTTCCTCTCACTGCTAAAGACCCCTATGTGCAAGCGAATTATTGAAATAAAATTAAACCATATATTAGTCCTGAAATGACCTAGTTTGTGTTGAGTGGACGTTAAACCCCATTTCTCTCTCTCTAAGGCCACTCGGATTTGATAGAATGGTGGTTCATTTGACATTAATATTAATGTCATTGCTAGTCTGCCTGGATTTGATAGAATGGTGGTTCATTTGACATTAATATTAATGTCATAGCTAGTCTGCCTGGATGTGATAGAACAGTGGTTCATTTGACATTAATATTAATGTCATAGCTAGTCTGCCTGGGTGTGATAGAATTGGGATCATTTGACATTAATATTAATGCCATAGCTAGTCTGCCTGGGTGTGATATAATTGGGATTATTTGACATTAGTGATAATATCCTAGATGTGATTCTCTTAGTCTGGTCAACCCCAAATTTAGTTTTCAGGTGAGTTTTGTAACCATTATCAACAAGCCTGGAATTTATACCAGACACTGTTTGTGACAGGTAGCGTATTTCAGGTTTGAATTATCGAATACGGAGATGGGACACACACAGTCTTCAGAGGTCCTTCATAGTGGTGTGCCATCGCTGAAAAAATGTTCAATTTTCGAAGTGAGATATAGTGAAGTTGTTGTCAATGAGCACCTCAGCCCACTCACTTATACAACTGTATTTTAAAAGAATGTCTCAAATCTGTGTTCTGAAATTCAATATAAAGATAGCTCCACTATTATTAAGACCCTTTGACTGGTCTTGTTAGTGAGGTTTCACTGTATTAACAGCGAATGGTTGTTATAGACAATGGTTATACCAAGTTATTGTATCATAGAATCATCTTGTATCATATAATCATCAATCATTGCATTCAATCAAACAATAATGTTACTAGGCCAAATCAGTTCATTAAGACTCCAAAGAACTAGAAATTAATTAGTTTGGTATCTTTGGCCTTTCGTAGTTTCCACTAGTAATAGTACGAGTAGATATGAAATCATTTGAGAAATTCTAAAATCCTAGTATTCCAAACCCCTTCGTTTGGCCTTCATAGTTTCCGCAGACATGATATCATTTCTAAAATTCTGAATAGAAATCTCAGTATTCCAACATTCTTTGCACTCTGAAATTACATTGGATTGGCTTTGGTAGTTGCCACTAATTGTTTGTAGTGCAATACCCCTGCACTTACCATATTCGAGACATGAAATTAATTCTGAAATAGAAATCCCAATATTTCAAACACCCTTTGTCACACAGCTTTATCAATATGATACCGGTACATAAGAACATGTATTTTAAATTATATCATTAATAAATCTGCCTCAGACTTCAAGAATTTCCAAAAATATTGCAGGGTCGTTAATTCAGTTGATATGGCGATATTGGCTCTATGGATTATATTTGATCTTTTTGGGGGACCAGGAACAGGGCTCCAAGCACTACTCATCTTGTTGTTCTTCTTGGGGACAACGCTCTTGGAAAAAAGCCTAAGGCTCCGACAGATTCAAGTATGATTGACATGAAACTTAGCATCCTTATTCCTCGGACAATTGTGCTTCAACGGATTGAAGTTGGTTATTGATTTGACTTCACAATTCCAAGATGGTTGCGATATGATACTTGAAATTCTTGTTCCATGGACAATTGAGCATCAATTGATTGATTTTGATTGTTGATATGACATAACAATTCCAAGATGGCTGCGATATGATACTTGTCATCCTTGTTGTTGGACAATTGTGCATCAATTGATTGACTTCAATTTTTGATAAAACGTCAAAATTCCAAGATGGCCACGATGTTCAGTTCCTGGTCCATAAAGTACTATTGTACTTGTTTTATATTCAGATAATCATAATTTAAATTGACGTATATCATATATTTATGTAATGGAGTTTAATAATAAATGGAGAACTTAAGCTTTAATAGTATTCTAGCTGTAATTGATCCTTGTTACTCTTAGTTACCTGTGAGTGATTTCCAATGGTGAACACAATTGCTAGTCCTAATTAAGGCCACTGCTCATCAGTTGTATTTTTCGGGCAATATCTAATATTTCAGGGCTTAAATCATGTTAAAATTTATTTAAATTGATAATCTCTGCACATAGATTCAATCAGATTAAAAAGAGGCCCATCAGAGATTTTATCCAACTGGCACTGGCTTCTTTATGTCTTATGCAGAAGATGCCGAATATTGTGAATTTTTCCTATCTTTGTTAATACTGAAAGGATTTAAACCATTTTTAGACTTGCATACCTTTCAGAGATTCAACTCTTGCAGGGGATTTCATAACCCCTCTAATGACGGTCAGTGGCATTAATTCCATGTGAGTGATTGGCAATGGTGCACTTAAACCTTTGTTGAATTGAACACATTGCTAGTCCTAATTGAGAAATTGCCAATTTTATTTTGATACCCGGTATTGTAAAAATATCACAATAAATATGTCCATGTATAATAATAATAATAATTTGATCTCCTGTATGTTGTTAAAGTTGTGTTTTATTTTAGTGAATCCTATTTTTGAACTGTGAGTATTCTTTAAAATCAGGATTTTTTTTCCAATAAACATGATAGACGACACAATGCGTAAGATTTTAGAAAAAAAAAACAAGAACTTTTCTTAGAAACTGCCACAATAGATCGTATACTCTTCTATGCTGCCAATAGCAAAATTATTTAATTCTATGTCATTAAAATACAGATGTGTCATTCTTTGATATTGACCTGCCCACCTGAGAGTCTAGAACATTGTGTCGATCCTGATATCAAAATATGGAGTGAGTAGAAACTACCAGTATAATGATAGGTGGAAATGTTTTCTTATTCAGTAGGGAACGTGCTTTATCGTCAGAAATTATCTCTGCAATTAAATTGTTTAGTTGATGAATAAAATTTTGTTTCCAAAACTTTTAATGGGGTATCTTTGTAGATAAAGCAGAAGTTTAGGCCATATTGAAAAAAATATTTTGGTTCTCAGATTGTCTTAGAATCAGAATATTTTTTCTTTGTGTGGCCTTATTTCTGAAGTATCAATATCATGTTTTCAAATAGAGATAAACTATTTTCAATATTGATGATTTTAATTTTGAAGACTTTAGTTATTGTACATCCTACGTTACATATTTGTATATTTTAGTAAAATAATATTTTTTGTTATTGAATATTACAGAATGAATTAGATATAGGTGTTTTATTAATTATAAAATTTTGTACCTTTTGTAGATCTGACTCAATTCTGACTCTATTCTATCTTCACAAATATATTAATAAACATCTTTCATATAATGCAGTGGTTCTCAACCTTTTTTGCCAATGGCACACCTTGTAACGCATGAAAAAATAGCGGCACACGTGGCTAGATATGTATGAAAACTAGTGTAATTTTGCAAAATAAAAACATCATAAGTCAGACGGCATACAACCGTAGACATAGACTAGTCATAGACACAGAATGACTCAAACTAAATACAGAAAAACACAGCTATGAACTTATCAGTAGACACCAGTGAATACTCAATTGGGATCACATGGGTTTTCACATTTTCTTAGTGTGCCGTTCAAAATTCTGCGGCACACTGGTTGAGAATCACTGATATAATGCATAATTTTCATAAACAACATGCAAATAAATTTTAATTTTAGTTAAAGTGTTGCACATCAAACAGTTAATACTTATTGAAACTTCATCATAACTATGTTATTTATTTTGATGTATCCTTAAAACCCATGGGACTATTGTCAGAAAAATCGATATGATCTTAAAACTTTATAAAAAAAGTATATAAGATACAATTATCCACGCTGTCGTTTCCATTTTTGCTTCAAACAAACTTAGGATGATGGTAATTTGGACTTTTCTGAGAATACGCCCTGGGTTGATAAAAATATTCCTGACAAATTTTAACCTGACATAAGTTTATGTGTCTGTTTTGTTATTTTGTGTTTCCATAGAAACAAATCTGACTTTGTTTTTGGTATACAATTTTTATTCTGGGTATACAATTTTTATTCCGGATCATATCTCATAAACTGTTCAAGATATATTTATGGAACTTTGTACACACATCAACCATTAAGTTAAAATAAATTCTAGTTTTTCTGCACTCGTCACCTTATATATTACATTTCAGCACTCAAGTGCCGTTATTATATATCAATATTTTATCATGTTATATACAGCAAGTATATATTATGATATACAGCACGATTTTACAACCATATTCTACATGCCTCATGTATAGCACATGATTGAGTGAACATCGTCAGATCAGTCAAGGATTGTTTCGTGAACCCATCATTATTAGCCCAGTTGGTGCAGAAAAGTAGGACATCAAACTTCATTTCATTCATTCATCTAATGCCAAAAAAAATGAAATGAAATGGATTTTAACTTCCTATTTTTCTACACCTATTGAGCTGGGGGGGGGGGGGATGGCTGAATGGTTAGCGTGTGCATGCTGTATCATAAAGTCTGTCATTGAGTCAACTGGCGTGGTTTCGAATCCCCGGTTTGTACGTGACAAGGAGTAGGCTCGACTGTCCAACCTCTTGGGTTTTCTCCGGGTCCTCCGGTTTCCTCCCACTGCTAAAGACCCCTACGCGCAAGCAAATGATTGAAATAAAATTAAACCATATGTTAGTCCCGAAATGACCTAGTTTGTGTAGAGTGGACGTTAAACTCCATTTCTCTCTCTCTCTCTCCTATTGGTAATGCAAAAGAAAACCTGAATGCCAAACAATATAAATAAAGTATGTTTCCATACAAATTTTGACTGGCGTGGCTTCGAATCCCCAGTTGTACGTGACAAGGAGTAGGGTTGCCTGTCCAACCTCGTGGGTTTTCTCCGGGTCCTCCGGTTTCCTCCCGCTGCTAAAGACCCCTATGCGCAAGGGAATTATTAAAATAAAATTAAAACCATATGTTAGTCCTGAAATGACATAGTTTGTGTCAAGTGGACTTTAAACCCCATTTCTCTCTCTCTCCTTACAAATTTTGACATAGTTATGATTCACAAAGAACAATCAACCAATCTAATGATGTTTAGTCTATTATAGGTATGTAGGATGAGGCTGCACAGAAGATGTATAATGTGTTTTAATTAATTTATTTATGTAAAAACCAAAACACTAGAAATACTAATATTGTTTCTTTAAGATGTCGGTTAGTTTACTATTGTAAAATAATCTGTTAATCTCTATATATCTCCACATTATTTTATTGTCTTCTTTTTTAATAGCGGGGTATCATAAGATCTATCATTGGAGTCAAATGGCTTGGTTTCGATTCTCCGGTTGTAAGTGACAAGGAGTAGGGTCACCTGTCCAACCTCGTGGGTTTTCTCCGGGTCCTCCGGTTTCCTCCCACTGCTAAAAGACCCCTACGCGCAAGTGATTTTATTGAAATAAAATTGAACCATATGTTAGTCCTGAAATGACCTGGTTTGTGTCAAGTAGATTTTAAACCCTATTTCTCTCTCTTTTTTAATAAAACTAAATTAAATCTTTTATTTACATCTAAACAACAGTAGGTGTTTGTTTAAATTATAAGGATTATTAATGTGTATATGGCAATGTTTATTTGTGCTGAAATCTCAATAAGTGAGTTTTAAATAATTTACAAAATCCTTTTGATGACCGTGCGATTTGGGTCACAATGTTTTTCATGGAGTTAAGTGGCATGGTGTCAATCCTAAGTTTGCAGGTAACGAGGAACCTCGTTGATTTTCCTCCCATATCTTGAGACTCCAACACAAATTATTGTAATCACCATATGTTAGTCCTGAAATGACCTATTTTTCTGTTGAGTCGACGTTAAACCCAATTTTTCTTATTATTCATAATCAGTATGGATTAAGTCCAAGAAACTTTATTTAAACCTAGATTTATGACAAAAAGCTTTGAATTCACTTTTTTGACGAATGGAACATGTTGTGTGCAATAGATTGGGCAAGGTGAAGGAACACACCTGTTTTGTTCATGAACAGGGGAAAAACTCTGACTCTGAAAAACACCTGAATTTATGTGAGGTTTTAAGTGGAATGGGTAAAGGAGCATATCCTATGGATGCAAATGTTTGTGGGGTAAACGGGTAACAGCTCTCACACTCACAACACCCTCTGATTCCTTGATTACTCTGCATGTAGAAATTTTGTGAAAATAAAAGTTTTTATATCGTAAGTGACAATTTCTTTTCATACAGATTTGTAACTTGTGCTTTATTGTAAATAAATATAGTATTTTTGTTGACAAAAAATTTGTAGGTTGTTGTTTTTCACTTTATGTTGTACCGCCTATTGAGATCGATGTTCATATAATTGACGGTAAATAATATATATTATTATTATTTGTTCAACAAATACAGATCTGTGTATGTCAAATCAGTAGGGCACTCGCATCTTGACTACAATGTTCCAGGTTCGAATTGTGCTTCCCCATGTCATTGGTACAGGACAGAGGGCCTGGCAAGGGACAATGTATAGTCGTTCGTGGAGGGACGGAAGACCGAGGTCTTGTGTACACATTGGCGTACACGTAAAAGAACTCTTGGCAGTTGGAATTCGATAGTAGGCTGTAACGCCGCTGCCCAGACGAAATTTCCCTCATTGCACACTGTAATGACATATGTCCATCCTCATTAGCCTAGTTGGAGCAAACCAGTCGGACGTTAAACCCCATTTCAAGGTTTGAATCCCAGCGTGAACAGAGAAGAACTTTCAGGATTTTTTTTCAAGCCCGGTTCACATTTGTCGGGGGCGGTGCATGCAGGGCCAACAAGAAAAGTATACATAGTCATTCAGATGGGATAAAAAAAACAGGTCCAGCCAGGTATATATTGGTGTGCACATAAAAGACCCTGTGGCAGATGGAATTCTAAGAAGTTTACTTAGAAGCGCCACTATCCAGGCAAAGTTATTGCCCTCACATTGCAATAAAAATTTTGGTCTCAAAACGATGGAAGTGTCATGTTGATGATAATTTCAACCCCATCCCATTTCATTCTGTGTGTCCTTTGCCACAGCTTGCATGTACTAGGGGGTTGAATATGGCCGAATGGTTAGCAAGTGTGCGTTGTATCATAAGGTCTGTCATTGAGTCAACTGGCGTGGTTTCGATTCCCCGGTTGTACGTGACACGTGACAATTAGTAGGGTCGCCTGTCCAACTTCGTGAGTTTTTTCCAGGTCCTCGGGTTTCCTCCCACTGCTCAAGACACCTACACGCAAGCGAATTATTGAAATAAAATTGAACCATGTGTTAGTCCCAAAATGACCTAGTTTGTGTCGAGTGGATATTAAACCCTCTCTCTCTTTCTCTCTCTACAAAGACTGAAAGTGGTTGTTTTTCATAGATTAATAATAATATTGTTACTTTAAGACTTATCTGAGAAAAGATTTGGATAAAATTAATTTCAAACTCTTGACATTAAACCAAGACTGATGTCAAATTGCGTTAGACAGAGAGGTTGATAGATAAAACAATAATTCTATTCTAATCGCTGCTCACGCGGATACCCATAATTGTGCATGTTTTAAACTATACAAAGACTAGAAGTGGTTGGTTTTCATAGATAAATAACAACATTGCTATTTTAATCTGAACTTAGTCTAGGTGTGTACTGGGTACAGGTAGATTGTTTATCAACAGGTTTGTTCACATGTCAAAGATCAATACAACTGTCTGACCTTTTAAACCAGTTATCATGACATCCTTAAAGGGCCAACAGATCTAATAACTGAAATGCGGTTTAAAGTCCTACTAACTGTTCAGACTAATGAAGATGAGTGATATTAAAGACAATTTGTCCAGACAGCAGTGTTTCTGCCAACTCTTCATTGATTCTAACTGCCAAGGGTTCTTTTATGTGCACGCCAACATGTAGCCTGCATAAGTCGCATCAGTGACCCAACTTGCGCTTTGATTTGAAATATTTGACGACTCACGAATTGATAGAGCTTAGTACTCGAGTCGCGGCGAGGTGATGTAACTAAAACTCACCTTATACACCATGAATTGCGAACTCATTTGATGAACTGGTGACTTGAATGGAACTCGACTTGGTGCTAAAGTCAGCTACTTGGGACTCGACTCGAACTTGAGGTGCCACGACTTGGGACTCGAGGGCCTCTGACACATGCTGACCACAATTTTTGGTCCCATCCCAATTGACTAAATGCTGTTACTTGCCAGGGCCTTCATCCTGCAATACACAACCAACACTGGAAACAAACTCAAGATCGTAAGAATGCAGAAAAATCAAGGATAATATCAGGATCAAAATGGGTACCTCTTGGTTAGTGATCATTAAACAGATGTTTAAAATTAAGTTTATTTCTTGTTGAACCAATCTGGTTAAAACACAGATCCTATTTTGTTTCGTTTTTTATAGTTCAAAATTTCGGTTTAATTGTTTTCACAACACTAGGATCTGAAAGAGTTGTTATATTACTGGTGTTTTGGTTGATATGATGGATAAGCCAGTGAAACCATCTGTTTTGGCGAGTTCTTGGCTGCTCTGCAGGGAACTGTTGGTAAACCACTAGAATTGTCAACGCCGATTGATTAATCAATGTCTGACGTCATAGGTTCAAAAGCCACTTGTATAACCCCTGACGTGACCCTCTAGTACAACTGGTCAGATCTTCATGTAGTGTAGGCCATTGAAAGTATAAAAAAAACAAAACGAAATATAGATCTGTATTTTAATCCGATTGTTGTTGAACGTGATGATGCCTCTTTAACGTGAAATATAGAAGGTGGTAATAATATTTTACCTGTATGTTGAGATATAAGTAGGTCAACAGGTAATTAAAATGATAAACAGATCAACAAGGTATTGTTATCATTACGCAGCACAAAATTTAATATAACCTGGTCTATAATCTACCGGTAGATAAATGATCTATTATATTGCGTAATATAAGTGTCCCAAAAGTGTGATGGACAGAGAGAGAGACATAGAGAAATGGAGTTTAAGGTCCACTTAGATAAACCCATGATTCAATTTTATTTCAATCATTCGTTTGCCCGTAGGGGTCTGTGGTAGGTGAGCTTACTCCTTGTCATGTACAATCAAGGAATCGAAACCATGCCGCTTGACTTAATGACAGAGCTTGCTATCTAGTGCACATTCGACCACCCAACCCCGTTCAGATGGACAGACTGATGAACCCAATTTAATACTATAGTGGCCATGGCTCAATTCCACCTTGTGAAATGCAATATTTCTTTGAAATGATTTATCCAGAATTCTGTTGGGAGTTCCTTGTTATTACAAGCCAAAACCACTCCGTTGGCGTATAAGCAATATGGACAGAAAGAAAGAGAGGTTGGAAAGGGGACCCTACTTCCTGTCACGTACAAGCAGGGAATCGAAACCATGCCACTTGATTCAACGACAGACAAACATTACGATCTAATGCATACACGTTAAACCATTCGACAAGCCCCTGTCCCGGCAATATGGACAGACGGATGACATTACAAGCCAAACCACTCCGTTGGCGTATAAGCAATATGGACAGAAAGAAAAAGAAGTTGGTAAGGCGACCTTTCTTCTTGTCATGTACAAGCAGGGAATCAAAACCATGCCACTTGACTCAATGAGAGACAGACATTTTGATCTAATGCATACACATTAAACCATTCGACCAGCTCCCACCCCGGCAATATGGACAGACGGACAACAATATAACTCCACTGGAGAGATGTGGGGGGGATACAAAAATCGATAATTTTTTTTCAAATCACAGCTTTATTCAATAATATGCCAGTAATAATAATAATAATAATAATAAGATAAAAAAAACTGTATCAAACTTAACCATTCACTCACTGGGCAGAAACTTAACATTGCACATCACAGAAAACATTAAAATATCTTAAAAACAACATAATCTCCTTGATTTGAGTGAAAAATAAAAAGGTTTATTGGATTGAATTTGATGTTTTGTTATGACAGATTGCAAATCATTTTACATTAAAAACTTGATGTCCAAACTTTCGGTTAATTTTGAGATTTAATCTGAAATTTCTACTTATTGCACATCAATGTTCTAAAATTTGGGATATATAAGCAGGTCCTGATTGACAAGCAGTCTTGTCTACAATATCACCATAGGTGGAAATGGATGTAAAACTCCAGGAACGAACGAACGACAAGCAGTGATATTAACTAGTTTGGTGAAATTTACCTGTTAATTTACATGCAATTATGTGTAAAATTTAAAAATATGTTTACCGGTATATATGAGATAATACTAAAATTTGTTGTTGAAAAACAAAATAAGCCAAAAATTTTGCCATGCTCAGATTAACCCGTTTCAACAATTTATTTTGACCTGAATCAAAGAGATTTAGTTGTTTTAATCAAGCACTGCATTTATAAATAAATAAAAGATACAAATTCATGTACAGTCACAATCAATTTTACCCATAGTACCCAGGCAGGACAAACCAATTTTTTGATATTTGTTTTTTCGAGATCTTTATAAATTGCCTCGCACCAGCAACCTTTTTTCTGCAATTTCAAAACTTGAAGCTCAGCAATCTGAGTAAAATACAGATCTATATTTTGTTACGTTTTTTTTATACTTTCGATGGCCTACACTACATGAAGATCTGACAAGTCAGGGATCATACAAGCGGCTTTTGACCCTATGACATCATACATTGATTAATCAATCAGCGTTGACGATTCTAGTGGTTTACCCACAGTTCCGTGCATGGCACGCCAAGAAGTCGCCGTAACAGACTGTTTCATTGGCTTATCCATCACATCAACCAAAACACTGGTTAAATAACAACTCTTACAGATCCTAGTGTAGTAAAGACAAGTAAAACAAAATTTTGAACTATAAAAAACGAAACGAAATAGGATCTGTGTTTAAATCAGATTGGAAGCTACGAGGCTAAGAACTATTGAGAAAACAGATCAAGTATGGGTGGCAAGTTCTAAAAACAAAAAACATGTTTCCCGAAGAACTAAAAATCAAAGGGACCATCAAAGACTTATTTATATGCGGGATGTGGTTTGACAATTTCTCTTCTTCAGGACCACATCCCCATTCATTTGGGACTTGAAATGTAATTACCGATATCCAAGTAAAATACTGTGAGACACTTCTATTCTTACGATTCAGAAATTCTACATAATATTTTCTAATATCTAATTAAGGCTGGATATATCTAATTAAGAATGGAAGATATCTAATTAAGGCTGAATATATCTAATTAAGAATGGTAAAAATGAAAGATACCTAATTAAGGCTGAATATATCTAATTATGAATGGTAAGAATGGATTATATCTAATTAAGGCTGGATATATCTAATTAAGAATGGTAAGAATGGAAGATATCTAATTAAGGCTGAATATATCTTATTATGAATGGTAAGAATAGAAGTCTTCTCTTTCACATACACACTACAAAAAATACACAGGCCACAGAAAACACACTAGATCTCCAATACACACTGGATCTCCAATACACACTAGATCTCCATTGATGACACATTGGATCTCTATTGATGACACATTGGATCTCCATTGATGACATATTGGATCTACACTGATGACATATTGGATCTCCATTGATGACACGTTGGATCTCCAATTAAAACACATTGGATCTCCATTGATGACATATTGGATCTCCATTGATGACACATGGATCTCCATTGATGACACACTGGATCTCCATGGATGACACACTGGATCTCCATGGATGACACATTGGATCTCCATTGATGACATATTGGATCCCCAATTACAATACATTGGCTCTCTCATAACAACACATTGGATCTCCATTGATGAAACATTGGATCTCCAATTATGACACATTGGCTTTCTCATAACAACATATTGGATCTCCATTGATGAAACATTGGATCTCCAATCATAACACATTGGCTCTCTCATAATAACACATTGGATCTCCATTCATACATTGATCTGTGTTCAATAACATCATTCAATAACACATAAGATCTCCAATCAGCAATGTGTCATTTAATAACAAATAAGATCTCCAATCAGCAATGTATCATTCAATAACACATAAGATCTCCAATCAGAAATGTATCATTCAATAACAAATAAGATCTCCAATCAGCAATGTATCATTCAATAACAAATAAGATCTCCGATCAACAATGTGTCATTCAATAATAAATAAGATCTCCAATAAACAATGTATCGGATCTCCAACCAGTAACTTGTCAGATCTCTGACAATCTGTAACAGATTGGATCTCTGATAAATCAATACTTTACATCATAACTTCTCTAGTTCCCATTTTTATTATCTTGATCATACTCTACACCCCCTCTGTTATCTTTAATGCCCTTTTCATCAACTTATAAAACAAAAACACACATTAGGCTAATAATATGAGGTTTAAAGTTTAAGATAACTACTCATAGGTATTAAATACACAAAATTATAAAAGTTTTTGAACAAAGAACTACATTATTTGTCAATTACAGCGGCAATACTTTATACCGGAAAACACCGGAAAACACCATTTTATACTGAATACCGGAAAACACCGGAAAAACACTAAATACCGGAAAACACACTAAATACCGGAAAATACCCTAAATAGGTAACCCGGAGACTGGCACCCTAAATAGGTAACCGGGAGCCTGTTCCTCTGTGTGCCTGGGTTAGGGTTAGGGTTAGTTTCCGGTTTATAGTATAGCCCTTCTCCGGGTTACCTATTTAGGGTGTTTTCCGGTATTTAGTGTGTTTTCCGGTATTTAGTGTTTTTCCGGTATTCAGTATAACATGGTGTTTTCCGGTTGTTTTCCGGTGTTTTTCGGTATATAGTATAGCCCCAATTATTAGCACTTATAAAATAAGCGAAAGTGCTAGTTCTTTTTTCCAAAACTTTTATATTTTTGTGTATATATTATATATATATATATATATATATATATATATATATATATATATATATATATATAAAGAGTGTGCCATAAATCTTTGTTATTTTACTGCCAGTGAAAGATTTCACATCTATTTTTAACATCGTGCCACAAGGATCACAGATTTTACTGTATGTGATAATTAACAGCAAATATAATATGTTTTACAATTATATATATATATAAACATACCTCAGTAATTGGAAAGGTATGTGGCAAACAGCAGTAAAAATATGCATCAAATTCAAAAATAGCCAATAAAATTTGACAATTAAATTAGCAGCTTTCATATCTACATTTGAAAAAATCGCAAAGATGTCGATAAAATATGTATGAGATTACACCGATTTCTATCTTTAGTATAAAATCACAAATATATACACTGGGACCTCACTATAGTGCTGGTTTCAGTACAGCTGTAATCAATGGACTCCTACATTAGGCCTATAAGTCTCACTCTATGAATAAATGGACCCCTACATCAGTGATATAGTAAAAAACTAAAAGAGTCTCACTATATGAATAAATGAAATGGGGTTTAACATCTTCATTTTCTGCACCAACTGGGTAAATGAAGATGGGAATATATGTCCAACAGTGTGCTATGAGGGAAATTTTGCCTGGACAGCAATTGAATTCCAACTGTCGAGGGATCTTTTACGTGCACGCCAATGTATACACTGGAAAAACAACTAGTCTTGTCTTTGCCAGGACGTCCATCCTGCATCAGTCAACAGGAATTCATGCTCTAGAAATCCTGGGGAACCTCATCAAACCCTGGACCTTCTGGTTAGTGAACCAGCGCCTTACTCACTGAGCCACTGTGGCTTCTAGTTTCACTATAACCTAGATGTAGTGGCTGTAGTCAATGGATCCTGAATTCAGTGTTACAGTGAAGTCCTAGTGTACTATATATGAGTCTCATTATAACATGGCTGTCCAAATGGTTGTAGTCAATGGACCCAAACATCAGTGTTATAGTGAAGTCCCAGTCTCACTATAATATGGCTGTCCAAGTGGTTGTAGTAATGGACACAAACAGTGTACTATATATGAGTCTCACAATAACATGGCTGTCCAAATGGTTGTAGTAATGGACCGAAGCACAGTTAACTATTCATAACAAAACACAACACAGGGTAACACAGAGAGAGAGAGAGAGAGAGAGAGAGGTTTAAGGTCCACTGATACAAACTAGGTCATTTCAGAACTAACACATGGTTCAATTTTATTTCAATAATTTGCTTGCGCGTAGGGGTCTTTAGCAGTGGGAGGAAACCAGAGGACCCGGAGAAAACCCATGAGGTTGGACAGGCGACCCTACTCCTTGTCAATTCAAGTTAATGATAAATAGAGAAGTAGTTATATCCATATATATCTTTGTGTTGTGTTCTGTTATGAAAATATCTAATCTGTTCTAATCATTCATTACTTGATATAAACAACTACCAAAATCATCTTAATCTATCAATTAAAACTTATTAACAAAAAATAAACTGATATAATTTACCATATGTTTCAACGATTTATCTTCCTCAAAAAATACATGCACAGGAATGTTACGAAATAAACAAAAGAACATGCACAGAGGGATTTTCCCTGAAGCGCACCTAAGACTTACTACCACGTAAATAAGATTTTGGCTAATCAGTTCTATTGAACTATAAATATGTTTCATGGAAAGATCCTAACACAAAAGGTAGCACTAAATTATAAGGTGAAATGGACCCTTGGTTCCTCGTATTACTGTGAATCTATATTGTAAAGTATAGTATTATGTGTACTTGTACAATAGGGTATTACTTGTACATCTAGTTATTACATTGTAAATTAGGATTACTATTACATGTACAGTAGGTTACTACATGAACCAGTGATGGGATTTTGCCCGTATATTCCGGACATGTTCTATGCTATTTTCCAATCGTCCTAAGAAATGTTGACGAATATTTCGATTGGAATAACGTAAGTAGTTACAGTAATTGTTTTAGACGATAGCGCGTGCTTAGAGTCGAATGGGTTTATTTAGCAGTTGGTGTCACTCACTTGTTGTATTAGAGCGACGTTTACTACGGTTTACGGCCAAATAAATTTCAGGATGTCATTTTTTTACCTTCCGTATATAAATCGAAATGGAGTACAAGACGAATGCCGGACTTTGCTGAAAAATGTATCGATTTATGACCCCAAAAATATGGTAATTTGGGGGGAATTTGAAACTGGTACGGATGGGCAGTAGTCGGCACGTTTTCATTCTATGGTATTACGATGTCATGTAATTTTGTAGGAATATTATTGACATAAATTTGAATACCGTATGGGAATTAAATATGAAAAATAACGAGGTGTACCTATTTTTTTTATTACGTGTGAATTTGAATATTTTGTTGACACGTGATTTTTAATTGTGGTTTGAAAACGCCTGCTTAAATAACAATAAGATTTATGTCCCTTTATTTTCGGGAAGAAAATGTCCGACAACTAAAATTTCGAAATCCCATCACTGACATGAACAATAGGGTATAAAACATTGTACAGCAGGTCATTTGTATGTACAGTAGAGTAGTAAATGTACACTAGGGTATCATATGTATAGTAGGGTATTACATGTACATTAGGGTATTTGTATGTACAGCAGGGTATTTGTATGTCTGGATAAGTTAATTCATGTCTAATTAATAATTTAGATAACATTTCAAGCCTAACTAAAGACCTGCAATAGGCAGATTTAGCTCTTGCATAATGTATGTTTAAAATCACACGTTCATGAATAAAGCTCCTTTACAGTACACATGTTACAGTAGAGATAATACATTCTTATGGAAAAACAGCTACTTATCTATTTGTGCGACATTTCAAATGGTTTTCTCCCCATGTTATCAATCTAATGTTTTTCCATAAGTATGTGTTATTGTGTATTTCTATATCCAGTTACTAAATGCCTCTACAAGCTTATTACAGTACACATGTTACAGTAGAGATGTTAGTGTAATAAAGTCACAATAAATGTAATAAACTCACAATAAATGTAATAAACTCACAATAAATATATAAATAATTCACATTCTTGGTAGCCAATTTTATCTACTTTCAGTTTCACTACCCAGGGGATCATGACTACTTCCTGTTTTACGAATAATTAATTAACATAGAAAGCTTAAAACCACATAATGCCAATACTTCATTAACATGGGTTTTCCCCTTTACAAGTCAATACTAATACTATTATATGGCCTCTGCATTGCAAATACAGTTGTATAACAGACATATAAGGGAAAAGAATTCCATGAGAAGGGAGGGACTGTAAAAAGCTTTGATATAAAATTTGTGCTAATCAAGGTCCCATATTAGCCTTTCAATTATTTATTCAATCAATCAGAAATTAGTACCGTAAGTAGTGACACTGAAGGGATATAATCCAGTTTACTGAGTGCAAGTCAATCATAACAAATATTAGTTTAAAACGTCGATTAATTTCGATATATACAGATCACATTTTCATGTTATTGACAGAATAATTACAATATGAATACACAGTTTACACATTTTTGTGTTCTAATTTCTACTGGTACAATAATTCATTAATTAACAATTAATACGTCGTGCCAATGGAAGAATCTATCCTATAAAGCAACCCTGGAAATAAGCCACAAGTCATTGACAACATTAGACAAAAATCTGGCCCCAAGTTCACAAAGCATTTTTAGACTTGTATTAAGAATTTATTCAAAATCGTTCGCCTTATTTTAACTTAAATATAACCCTTTATAAAACTTTTCTTGTTTTAATGTATCAAATACATCAATAAGAAACTATGTGCAAAGTTTTGTGTTTATGGATCAAAGATATTTCTCATAAACAGCGATTGAAAATTGAGTAAAGTCTAAGAATGCTTTGTGAACTCGCGGCCTGCTGCCTATCAGTATGTTTAACACAGTTTGTCCCTTCTTCGTCATGAAAAGTTTCAGGTACAACTTCACCGGTGCCCGACATCTTGTCAGGTAAGACTAAAATTTTTATTTCCAGGTTTGCCTTAATGTTATAAAATTTTGGTTAAGCAGCTGAGAATGAAAGATGCAGAAGGGGGAAGCCATGTAAAAGCACTATAATAGAACATGATTCATTAATTGATCATGATCAAATAATCGATCCTGATTCAATAATCGATCATGATCCAATAACAGATCATGATTAAATAATCGATCATGATCCAATAACTGATCATGATTAAATAATTGATCACAATCCAATAATCGATCATGATTCAATAATTGATCATAGGTCAATAACTGATCACAGGTCAATAATTGATCACAGGTCAATAATTGATCACAGGTCAATAATTGATCACAGGTCAATATTTGATCACAAGTCAATAATCAATAATGATTCAATAATGGATCACGATTCAATCATGATTCAATAATCCATCATGACTTAATAAATAAAGCCATGTAAATTACTCTAAACATTAATACACGTTATAACATCTTAACCACATGGGACCCGTTTCACAAAGAGAAATGATAACACACTAACGGGACTATCATGGTAAATTGAATTAAATAATTCGCTTGCGCGCAGGGGTCTTAAACCAAGAAAAGACTTAAGGCTAGGCTGGATACCCTACTCCTTTTCCTGGACAAGCCTGAAATCAAAACAACATCACTTTACACAATCACAGCTTTATGAAACAGGACCCTGGATTACAAATTGTAATTTTCTTTAGCATTCCAAAACTTCCATAAGACAATCTTCATTTATCAAAATTCTCATCCAACATACTAAATTGTCTATTAAATACTGCACGCACAAACAAAAGTCAACGCTTACAAAAATGAGTACAAAAAATTGTGCAAATCAAACCATAAATATACAACAACAAGCAGTCTATGGATACCATATTTGCAAGGTACTTTACTAAGTTGGATGGAAATTTAACATAAATGCAGAATTTGATAAATAAACATTGCCTGGTTTGTAGTTTCATAACAGAACATATGCACAATTACGATTTGTAATCAATGTGGCAGAGACAAAAATAATATTAGGTTTACTAGAACATGTGTCATGGAAGTAACATAACATCCAATGATATCTTTATTTTGTAAGAATTTGTTCCGTTCAGAAAGCCATCTTCCTCCCTTCTTACTCACGTATCGTCACGGTGATGTGTATAATTTGAGGTAATTTGATGGATGGTTGCCGTCTCGTTTCTGGTCAGGCTGTTGTTTAACACGGCACCATAACCCGTTCGTGGAGTTCCTGCAGCGTTCATTATAGGTGTCCCTCTTGGCGTACCTCTAGAATTTGTATTGTTCACAGAATACTGGTTATTGATATCGAATGGACTGAAACATAAAAATAGATTTTTAAATACGTCCCCCCAAAAAATGGCACCACAATTTGAGGACCAGTCGTGATACAAAATATTCTTATTGAATATTAAAGATACATTATGGGATATTAGATAAAGAGCTGGCAGCTCTCACTATAATATATAGTTAAAAACTAGATAATGTGAAGGGAAAATGCTGAAAATTTCAGTCAAATTGATCCACTCTGAACCAAGATTTTAGCGATTGAAATTTCGGCCTAGCCTCGATCATCATTACTAAAGTCTGTACGATAAAAAACATAGTCTCGATTATCCATTTCATGATTAAATCATGAATGAAAGTTAAGCAGCAATTCAAATCATAATCCAATAAATATCGCAGGCTAGCGTTGACATCGAGAGATAAGTTTATTAATGTCTAATTAATAATTTAGATGACATTTCAGGCCTAAAGAAAGACCTACAATAGGCAGATTTAGCTTTTGCATAATGTATGTTTAACTTAAGAGCAACCAAGCAGTTTTTTGGTTTTGAATTATTTCTTTCCCCAAGAAGCAAAATTTTATCAGGAGTTCCAGAAGAAATTGGTATGGGCTAATAACCATTTATATATAATATTCTCAAAGCGAAACTTGTCCTTTAAATACTTTCTGGGCAGATTTGTTGCCATACTAAACTTACGCTGTCTGTTTGTCTACAATAAGCTCCGCTTGAGAACAGACACTAAGCTAGTTGACCAACATTGTAAGTCCTAAATCAATGATTTTAGTTGAAAAAACTAAGTATAATTTGAGAAGTATATATTCGGCTTTCATTTAATAAAAATGAAAAAATTTAATTAGACTTTTGGTGTATATTTAACTTGCAGCAGACAACATATTCACAATTTATGAAGTATTATTGAGCAAGGTAACCATGGCGAGTGAATATGGCACTGGCTCATTAACAAGGAGGTCACAGGTTCAATTCTGGTGTTGGCTATTGCTGCTTATTTTAACTGCAGTTACGATACGATACATATTGCGATTCAGGTACTACGATACGATTCGTATCACGATTCATAACTAGGCCAATATTTACCAAGATAACAACAGGATAAATTAACAATTGATATTTTTATGGGGAGAATTTTTAGTCCTGCTGATGTCAAAGACATAAAATTGTTTTATATCACGATATTCATATGGATCAAAGTAAAGACCAAAACAGATTAAGGGTGGAAATTACGAGTGACAGGTTAGTTACTGTAAAAATTGATTCAGAGGCTTGCGATTGAATATGTGAATCGCGATACATCGATTCTACGATATATCGTGCCAACACTAGTGTTGGTTCAGTCAGTTCTTCAGGATTTGCCAGCCCTGGTTTCTCCTGTAAATGATGCTAGATGAAAGGCCCGTTATGGAAAAAGGTGTCTAGTCATTCGGGTGCTACGAAAAAACGAGGCTCACCCATGTTCTCATTGGTGTTCAAGAAAAAGTGGTATTGGCATTCTAATAGAGTAGGCATACCCTGTCCTGTGTTTGACACCTCTAACTACCTGTAGCCAATTCAGTAGGTGAAATTATAAAAATATGAGTTTGTTTTTTACCTGCCAGGAAGATGTTCAGGTCTAGACAAATCATCATCACTATCGTACCTTCGTGGATTATCAAAAAAGAACACTTTTGACGTGTGACTGTGGGTCGAATCCGCTAGTGACTGTGAAATAAAAATATTCATTATTTACTCTATCTGAAATAAACTGTCTGACTATGAACCCCCACTCCAAGAAGACTCAGTAATTGAGCCCTCTCAATTATTTCCCTTAATTTCTATGACTGTTAAATAAAAAAAAATATTATTTAGTTTATTTGACATTAACTGTATGACTATGGAAAAAAATTCAAAAGGTCCCTTAAATTATCTCCCTTGATTTCTATACTTACAGTGTCATTTATGGCTCTTCTGACTCTAAAAAACATGACAACAACAAACGTGGGTAATACTTCCCATACAAATAATACCGCACCAAACGAGATATATGCATAACTACCGGACAGGTTATAAGCATCAGCCTAAAATTATAACAAAATCCCATATCTATAAATATAACATAATACCATCCATAAATATAACATAATCCCCGTCCATAAATATAACATAACATAATCCCCGTCCATAAATATAACATAACATAATCCCTGTCCATAAATATAACACAATTCCTCTATAATATAACATAATCCCTGTCCATAAATATAACACAATCCCTGAGCATAACATAATCCCTGTCCATAAATATGTGTAAACAATATACAAAACTTATGACATAAGGTCTGTTAATGAGTCAAGTGTTGTGGGTTCGCCACCCCATGCTTGTACTGACAAGAAGTTGGGCAGCATACCTAACCTTGTTGCTTTTCTCACACAAGTTATTGTTTGTGTTAAAGGAGTCAAGACTCTAACTCAATATTTTCCATAATTCGAAATTAAAAACACGAATTAGAATTCAATATTGATCAATTTCAATCAATATTGATGTTGTTATACTGGATTATGATCCCATTTGCTGCTCGACTTCCATTCATAATTTAATCATGAAATAGATGATCGAGACAATGTTTTTTATCGTACAAACTTTAGTAATGATGATCGAGGCTAGGCCGAAATTTCAATCGCTTAATTCTCAGTTCATAGTGGATCAATTTGACTGAAATCTTCAGCAAATTGCCTTTACATTATCTAGTTTTTAACTATTATAGTGAAAACTGCCAGCTCTTTATCTAATCTTCCATAATGTATCTTTAATATGTGCTTTTAGAACCATTTTTGTCTATTTCAAAGTTCCCAAAAATAGAGCCACAAGCTCATTAAGTACACTTCTTTCTCTTTTCTCAGGAGTTTTAACTATCATAATAGCATTCAAACATTTTACATTTGTTTTATTTCTGTCTGGCCAACGCCGAATAAGTTAAGATGTACTGAAGGAAACTAGAGTGGTTAAACTGTTGGTAATAACATTTTATTGTTTTACTCACCTGATCAGAGACATTAACCCAGTCGTAGCCAAACCCTGGTATTCTAGACGTATCTTTAGGATAAACAGCAATAAAATTATAAATAGCTCGTGATGTGAATAGTAAGGTTATAATCAATCCAGCTGAGATAGACTGACACATTGTTGTTCCCTGGAAAATAAAACAAAGATAAAAAATAATGTTATCTAATTTTCTACTCATATGCCACACTGATAACTGGAACAGAATGGAATATCATACTTGGGTTATTTTGGGACTAACATATGGTAATTTTTATTCCTATGGTTAAGTTGGTAATGTGAAAGGGATAATTTTTTGCCAGGACAGTAGCTCTTCTTTCGAATTCCAACTGCCAAGGACTCTTTAATGTGCTCTTCTTCGAATTCCAAGGGATCTTTTATGTGAACTTCCTTCGAAATACGACTGCCAAGGGATCTTTTATGTGTGCCCCTTCGAATTTCAACTGCCAAGGGATCTTTTACATGCACTACCAATTTGTAGATGGGACATCGGTTTTTCATCCCATCTGAACGACTAGACACACAGAAAATATTCTTGTTTTATTATATAAAATCCAAGACTGTACTAAAAGTACAGAAGATGGGTGGAGGAAACCCCAATACAGTGCATGCCAGATAGGATCTCAGTGACACTGTTGGGTTGGGGATAAAAAAGAAATTATCTTTTGAAAGTTATTAATCTTCTATCAAATGATGATTAAATCCCCAGTAATTAGAAATGGCAGTATTTTCAATATATCTATTTATTAAACATACATTATGCATTATGCAGGTCTTTCATTAGGCCTGAAATGTTATCTAAATTAATAATTAGACACTAATTAACTTATCCAGACCATAATCAACTCTCAATGTCATCGCTAGTCTGCGATATTTACTAGATTAAGATCCAATCTGCTGCTCAACTCTCATTCATGATTAAATCAAGAAATGGATAATGGAGACTATGTATTTTATCGTACCGACTTTAGTAATGATGATCGAGGCTAGGCCCAAAATTCAATCGCTAAATTCTTGGATCAGAGAGGATCAATTTGACTGAAATTTTCAGCAAATTCCCTTTACATTATCTAGTTTTTAACTATTTTAGTGAGAACTGCCCGCTCTTTATCTAATCTCCCATAATGTATCTTTAATTTTATCAATATTGTAAGAAATGCAGAAATAAAATGTTCAAACCTTTGCTTCCAGTACTAGAGCTGACGAAGACATCTTTGTCATTTTGTAAATGCAGACAGAAAGAACAATAGCAAAAATAACGAACAGAGAATCGTTGATCGCCACCCGAATATACAAGAGTTGAATTGGTACTGATTGATAATGCGATTCATGATATTTTACAACTACAGCACAGCCGATATTTGATCCCAGGAAGACAACCGCTGCTATACACACAATAATACGAACTGGCCGTCTGAAATATCAAATTTAAACATGCATTATACAAGAGCAAAATCTGCCTATTGCAGGTCTTTCTTTAGGCCTGAAATGTTATCTAAATTATTAATTAGATATTAATTAACTGATCCAGGCCATAATCAACTCTCGATGGCAAAGGATTTCTCTGATATTAAACAGATTAGAACGATTCAGTCATATTTTGATTTAATTTAAAATGGAGGAGCGAGACTTAGCTTCGAACAACCAGTACGGTGGTTGAAATTATTGCACATGCCTTTTCATACCTTCAAAGACTAATATCTTCGCTCTCAATAGAGTAATTTGAACGAAATTTTCAAATTATTCATTTTATATTATCTATTTTTGAACTATTACAGCAAGAATAGCTAGCTCTTTATCTAAATCTTAAATAATGTATCTTTAAGGCAGCATATCAAAAAGAGGTAATAAATATTACCAAAAAAAAGCATATAAATTAATCAATCTCGTTCCCAGTTATCTCTGGTAGCCGGCCATTTTGAAATCAGCAGCATTTCATTCTAACAAAACCTGCCAATCTGTAGCCACTTGGGGTGGAGCTAAACAACCGAATTAACGCTGATTAATGGCCAGCAAGTTTTACCAGAGATAAACGAAGGGTAAAGTTTTCTCTGGGATCCAGATTGTAAATTTTTATGACAGCAAAAATCACACATACTTCTGTGTTATAGCAAGATTGTAACCATGGATACATCAGTTATTCACTTATATTAAACATTGATTTTGTGTTCTATTGACTACACTTGCTATAACTAACTAACAGTTAGGCTGAAGTCCCTCCACCTCTATCCCAAAATAAATAAATGACACTCATTTAAACATACATTATGCAAGAGCTAAATCTGTCTATTGCAGGTCTTTCATTAGGCCTGAAATTTTATATATACTATCAATTTGTCTTGATGGCATCAGATACTCAAGACTTTAACTAGATTACAACGGTTCGCCATTTAAAAATTTAATTTAAAAATAGGAAAATGAGGCTAAGTCTTGAATATACCAGTGCCCTGGTTACCACAATTCACACATCTTGTCAAAACTACAAACAGTGATAACTCGGCTCAGAATAAAGTAATTTGAATGAAAATTTCAATATTTTCATTTTTACATTATCTATTTTTGAGCTATTGTAGCAAGAATGGTCAACTCTTTATCTAAATTTTACATAATGTATCTTTAAATAAAACATCTAGCAATCAAATAACTGATCACTCTGCATAATCTAAGCAGAAAATGCTCATTATTGAACTAAGTCATGGTATTCATGTAATGAAAGTATACACTAAATTTCATCACTCCCCCTCAATTAGAAGCAGAGTTATTATTTTCTAATTTTATGGACACAATTACAGACTTTATTACTAACAAGGAAATAATAAAGACAAGTGCATCCTCATCAAAACATTTTACAATAATAAATTCAGTAATTGTGGATTCATAAATGTTCTAACTTGTGTTTAATTACTAAATACCAATCAAATAAGATAGTAGTATATTCTCAATGTTCACAGTAAGATTCATGGAGGGAGAGGGTGGTGGTGGTGGGGGGGGGGGGGGGTGAAGGGCACCTCCTCACCTACTGCTGAAATGTTACTTACTATATATTGATTGTAAGTCAGTAGCCATACTAGGCCCGTAGCCAGCTTGCTAGCTTCGGAGGGGCAGTGAAGTTTTTAGGGGGGGGGGGGGGGCACACCCGGCACAGTCTACAGTTGGTATTTTCGAGCTATAGCCGGCAAATATTTTTTCGACCCTCCTTGCCCCCCTCTAGCTACGGGCCTAAGCCATACTTTATTTGTTCACGTTCTCTTTTTGCGCGCCTTTTTATTACATCTGAGGGGTTAGATGGCCGAAGGGTTAGTGTGTGCGTCATATCAAAAGGTCTGTCATTGAGTCAACTGGGGTGGTTTCGATTCCCTGTTTGTGCATGACAAGGTGTTGGGTAGCCTTTCTAACCTTGTGGGTTTTCTCCAGGCCCTCCGCTTTCCTCCCACTGCTAAAGACCCCTACGCGCAAGAAAATTATTAAAATAAATTTGAACCCTATGCTAGTCATGAAATGTCCTAGTTTGTGTCAAGTGGACATTAAACCCCATTTCTCTCTCTTTCTTTTATTCAATCTGCACTTCCCTTTTTTTCTCATATATACACACCCTTTGTACCACATCTACACTTGTTGCTTCATTCAGTAAATGATATATTTTTTATTAAGTAATGTAGATAACTATGAAATATAACAATAACTCACTTATATCTACTGGGTTCATACTTGGCTCTTGCTTTAAAAACCACCTGCAAAAAAAATCCAAAACATTAAGTGTTTTTCACAAAACTAAATTGTACATCATTTTCCATCCATACTATGCATTTTCAAAAATTTACTGACACTGCATTTTCAAACATTTACTGACACATACTCCGGTGTGCGTGGGGGTTTCTGTCGAGAGGTTTAATATGTGCACTTTAGATCATAAGGTATGTCATTTAGTCAAATGGTGAGGTGTTGATTTTAAGCTTGTACATGAGAAGGAGCAGCATTGTCTTCTAAACCTCAAGGGGTTTCCCCCTGGTTAGACTGGTTTCCTGTGTTAAAGATCCCAACGCACAAGTGAATTATTGAAATAAAATTTTTTACCATGTGTTAGTTCCAAAATGAATTAACTGTATACAGATTACCTGACAGGTAAATTTTGAACCCAGTCAATTTCTCAGCTAGTTTTGACAGTCAAGATCAGCAAATAGGACTGAATCAAGAACAATGGACATTTAATTTTGTGTAAAAATTTATACGAAAATTGAAGTAATGCTAAAATTTGTCACATTCTTTGCCAATTGGATGGGACAAAAAACTGCGGTCCCTTGTACATATTGGCATGCATGTAAAAGATTCTTGGCAGTTGGAATTTGATTTAAGAGTAGGCAGAATATATTTCCTAGTACACTGTGTGCCACATGCTCATCTTCATTAACACAGTTGGAACAGAACAGTAGGATGTTAAACCCCATTTCATTTCATTTTCTATTTTTCCCTGTTTCTTTTTTAGAAGCCATGGTGGCTAAGTGAGTAAGATGCTGGCTCACTAGCCTGGAGTTCGCCGGTTGGCTCCCGGTGTCGGCTGAGAAAGTTCATCTGGCTTTTCTAGCGTGGTGTCCCATTGTCTGTGGTGCAGGAAGGAGGGCCTGACAAGGACAGCTGTCTAGTCTTTCGGATGGGACAAAAAAAACCCAAGGTCTCATGTACACATTGGCATGTCACATAAAAGATCCCTTGGCAGTTGGAATTCGATATAAGAGTAAGCTGTAGTGATGCTGTAGAGGCAAAATTTCCCTCATAGCAAACTGCATGGCGTATACCTGTCTTCATTAGCCCAGTCAAAACAGAACAGTGGGACATTAAACCACATTTCCTTTTCTGTTTGTGTTTCATATTTTCTTATACGACAGTTCTTTATGATAGACTCTAGCACTACACATTATCAAGTTCACTTAATAAAAAGCTCAAGAAATGATGTTAAACATTTACCATGATAAAGAAATTTCTATTTGCTTCCTTATATGACTAAACAATCTAATTTATTTCTAATGATGACAGTCATGTCCTACACTTCCTTTCTACATTATCACACTAACACTATTTATGGAATAAAAATTACTGGTTTATTAACGTGTAACGTTTCTACGATGATATATCATTTGCTTGATAAAGATGAGAGTATCATCGTCGAAACGTTGCATGTTAATAAACCAGTAATTGTTATTCCATAAATAGTGTTAGTGTGTTACTGTTCAATTACTAAATGCAACTTAAAAATACATTATGGGAGATTAGATAAAAAGCTGGAAGTTTTCACTATAATAGTTGAAAACTATATAATGTAAAGGGAATTTGCTGAAAATTTCAGTCAAATTAATGCATCTTGAACTGATAATTTAGCGATTGAATTTTGGGCCTAGACTTGATCATCATTACTAAAGTCGGTACATTAAAAAACATAGTGTAGATTATCCATTTTTTGATTTAATCAAAAGCAGCAGACCGGGTTCTAATCCAGTAAATATCGAGGCTAGCGATGCTATCGAGAGTTGATTATGATCTGGATAATTTAGATAACATTTCAGGCCTAAAGAAAGACCTGCAATTGGCAGAGTTATCTCTTGCATAATATATGTTTAAAGAAGTCCTTTTTACATTATCCATTAGTTGTAAGTGAAATAAGGGGAGTTGGGTCGTCAGTACCTTTGCTTTAGGTACTATCTGATTACAGTACAGATCTATATTTAGTTTCGTTTTTTTTATACTTTCGATGGCCTATACTACATGAAGATATGACAAGTTATAGTGGAAGTGTAACGTCAGGGGGTCAAACAAGTGGCTTTTAACCCTATAACAAAAGAGATTAAACTATAAAAAACGAAACGAAATAGTATTTCTGAAGCTTTTCTTAAAGGCTCAATACCACTCTTGTTGTAACTGAATAATATGTCCCAATCTTTATTCTGGTCAACAAATTGTACTATTTTACAATATTCCAATTAATTGATGATACAAATTTCATCTTAACACACCTAATTTAAAAAATTGGAAAAATTCAACTAAATGATTTGAAAAGCCTGACGTAAAGCTTTCCAAATGTGACTTGGATTTAAAAATATTTTTGAACCCTCTGGACAAGTAAAATAGGATTTAATGGATAATTTACACAACAGGTAGGACACTAACACATCTAGTACTTAGAATAAGGCTATTTTTTATTTTCTGGAGCTGTCAAGCCAGCAAGAGTGTTATTGTCCCTTTAAATATTTCTGTATAAAATGTATGTGTAGCCATTAAAACAGTATGTAACTATTTGCACATATCAAGCTCAACATCTAGTGCAGAAATAAAGAGTGAAAGCTAGTTATTTGCAATTTTATACAGCAAAGACGTATCTCAGTAAAAAATCCACCTGAACCTGCTTCAGTTTGATAGATTTCACACAGTAGAGGCTCAACAATAATTTCAATAATATGTATTTAACTATAAAACAATACTGGCTATATTTCGTTTGATTGTAATACTCTGGTTAGACACAAAGTTGATTTTTTCTAGAAAATACGACATTTTCACTGTTAATATTTTTTTTTTTGGAGAACCTCATATACGACATTTTGAAACAATATCTATAAAACCTTGTTTTATTGCCTTAGAAATACGGCAACTACATGTAGATGAAAAGATGCGCAGAAAAATTCTCATTCTGAAGAAGCAAAAAAGTGAATTTCGCAAAATATGCCTTTTGACTCCCCACTGACAATATGTTCTATAGCCCTTTGTCATGGTGGTCAATAAATTCATTATTACATTATACATGTACATAAACAAACAAATAAAAAAAACATGCAGTTTTATTTTATTCTATTCATTATCCAGTACGGGTATTAATATTAACTAATTTCAAATAAGGTTGGATTTACAATGGAATTATTTATATAGAACACTTTGATCACCTAAAGTGTTCAAGCGAACAGTGCATCAGAGGGTTTGCTGCAAGGATTTTAATTGGCTGTTTTTTGTCGGCTTTAGCCGCTTGAAGTTCAATCAAACTGATTGGTAAAATAATGAACCGGCCACTATGGTATCATAAATCAATCTACTTTCGGCCGATTTACAAAGCAAGCAAACTTTGCAGCAAACTTTGCTGTTAAAATAATGGGATGGCCCAAGGACACGAAAATGTTTTTAATAATTTGTTTTGATTCTAAGTGTCAAGTGTTCTGTTAGGTGAACCCCAATGTACACATGGATGGACCTTCATCTTTGTCAACTAAACTTCAAAGCACACTAAAGTTCTACTTTAAAAGATTAAAATATTGATCTCTATATGAACTGTGTAACAGATAAGGTCAATGATTTCTGTAACTATCTGTAATTACATACAGATAAACAATAACAACTAATTCAGAAAAAACCACCAATAACATGTGTAACGAACAGCTGATTCCGTCAATGAACATCCTGTCCACTGAACAGCTGATTCGTTCACGAACGTCCTGTCTACAGGTTTAACGACCCTACTTATAAAAACAGGATGTCTCCCCTTAATATCATTTTTCTACTCTTTTGTTTAAATATTATAGTAATTCCAAAGCCTAGAAAAATGAAAATTTTGGATTAATGTCAAGAGTTTTATATTAACTTCATCCAAATCTTATGTCAGATTAGCCCTACCCCTTTAGTACTTAGCAATTGCTAAAGGCTTAAAGTATGAATATTGTTATTATTTAATAATCATGGACATTTACATTGAATGTCACAAACCTCCAGATTTCTAAAATACAATCTTAAAAACTCTAATTCTTAAAGATACATTAGTTAAGAGTTTAATAAAGAGTTGGCCATTCTTGCTATAATAATTCAAAAATAGATGATAAAAAAAGAAAATATTGAAAATTTCAGTCAATTACTTTATTCTGAACGGAGTTGTCACTATTGGAAGTTTGGACTAGAAATAGGCAACTCTGTCTGCACCGTCAACGAGAATTGCCGATCGTTTGATTGACAGATGATAACTCTTTTGGTCTAATATTCCTTTTAGAGAACCACCTTTTATAAAATTGTAGTTTTCAAGAGATAAACAATCCATCAAATAACGATTTGACACTTTAACGCATTTTATATATCATTTTTTTGTTAAAGGCAGGTTCTTAGACAAGTGCTGTTAAAGTTTCCACTTTAAGAATAGGTTCTGAGAGTGAAATAAATCACCTAATTAACCCTAAGGGTATATATCTTTAATGGAATAAGAATACATGTACACCTTGACAACAGATTGGATCCAAATTAGATTTTAAGATCAACCTGTTTGACGTGTGTGTATTAGTACTTTTTGGCTGCTGTCCAATCTGTTATAATACATTTTATTAATAACACATGGTTTATCAATACGGTCTACCACAAGTAAATGTCATTTCTTTATGAGTCATTTGTTATTTTATTATTCCACATGCTTTTTCTATTTTATATAAACTAGTTTATCAAATGGTGTCACTTAAATACTGACACTGATTTAAAGAGTTATATTTATATTGATTACAAGGAGAATTTTGCCAGGACAGCACATGTTTCTGCCTACTGTTCTTCTAATTCTAACTTTCAAGGGGTCTTTAATATGTCAATGCCAGTGTGTTGTGTACACAGGTAGACCTATCTTTTTTAATTCCATCTGAACTTCAAAGATCAACCCTGACAAGTTGGTACAAGTCTAATATTTAGCGCTACCGGAAACAGTCTAGAAGTGTCCTTACAGCTACAT